TGTTAGAGCGAGTGAGACACAATGTTAGAGCGAGTGAGACACAATGTTAGAGCGAGTGAGACACAATGTTAGAGCGAGTGAGACACAATGTTAGAGCGAGTGAGACACAATGTTAGAGCGAGTGAGACACAATGTTAGAGTGAGTGAGACACAATGTTAGAGTGAGTGAGACACAATGTTAGAGTGAGTGAGACACAATGTTAGAGTGAGTGAGACACAATGTTAGAGCGAGTGAGACACAATGTTAGAGCGAGTGAGACACAATGTTAGAGCGAGTGAGACACAATGTTAGAGTGAGTGAGACATAATGTTAGAGTGAGTGAGACACAATGTTAGAGTGAGTGAGACACAATGTTAGAGCGAGTGAGACACAATGTTATAGCGAGTGAGACATAATGTTAGAGTGAGTGAGACACAATGTTAGAGTGAGTGAGACACAATGTTAGAGTGAGTGAGTGAGCGAACGAGTGAGGCACAAAGATGCAGAGTCTGGAGAACCACAACAGGAGAGCATGATAGAAAACGAAGAGAACGAGAAATAAGCGAAGATAGATACAATTGTTATTATTGCTTGGCCATCCTCTTTCTCTGCCTATGAAAACAACGTTCGATCGAGGACGTGTCCTACACCAATTGCTGGCTGCCAAGAACTATAGACCATTGTCTGAACCGCTATTGAACCCCACAGCCGAATCACTGGTGTCCGTGACAAACTGTGCTAATGGTACATGTGTCGGACCGGATGAATACTGCGGCCGGGACCCAGCCATGTGCTGGTATCGATGACACAATATTACCCCACATGTACCGAAAGCATGATCTAGTTCACACGGGACATCTAACGGCTGTTCAAATACATCAGTCTACTTGGATGCGGTTTGCTGGGCGCCCGGCGATCGCTGCTGATTGTTACATGCCTGCGACCAGTTATCGGAAAACACAGACAGGCCTTGCTGCAGTTTTGTGTTCGTAGGGTTTGTTTGAAGATTCATGTTCAGATTCCAAATGATATGTCTGCAGCACCTACAAAGAAGATACCCTTTCCATGCCATCAGGTGTATTGGGCACAAATGGCTAGACTTATTTTATAGACCAAGTCGACACTCGGTGGTTATGTGGTCAGCGCCAGCCACCTTTACTTCCCAGAAATTCACCCGTGCGCCATTAAGGCAGGGTCGATTAGGGCTGTGTTAAGGGAAGCGAAAATGTTATCTGTATAACTCAGCGTAAGAGACGACGACTAAGGAAGGTTGGCGTGTGATTGGCTTACTCATCCTGTCCAACCCGACCTCAACAGAATGTAACGATAGTGTTTGCTGTATAAGCATCTGAAAGGTTGAACGGTATCTATAGTATCTCTCTGTGTGAATGACTGTAACATCCAGCTTGTGGCTCATTGGGTCGACGTGTTGTTTAGCCCCGATCAGTAACTCCTACAGAACACATTAGTAGTCCGTCATAACCACTTGTTCGTTCAGCAAGGCAGTGTCATCACGTGAGCAAACCCCGGCTTATTTCGTGCAGTGGTTCCTACATTTGTTGTTGTGCTGGGCCATTTGTTTAGAAGCAATGTTTTGGTGGAGCCCCTTAGGCCCACGGTACCCTACGTCTTACAAGTGAATGGTGGAGGGTAGATAGTCCGAGAATGGGAGGAGATATCTATTGCGCCGTCAGCTGTTATTTCTAATTTTCATTCTACTTGTTTGTTTCCAAGTTTAATTTCCTGAATTCCAGGTGAAGCAGCCACCGATCTTCCGGAAGTGCACCCGCTGAGAACGACTAGTCTAGTGTGTTAACTAATCTCTACTTCTGTGAGTGCCAGCCAGTACCCGTGCATTTATCTATGATTAGATTTGTTTACAGTTAACACAACCACACAAATGAAAACGCCACATTCTGGTTGAAACAACTGATAATCTCTGATGAGACTCAAGTTGTTGTAGGCCTTGTCAATTTGCTGTAGACGGCCGTCACTCAACAGTTTGTTCAAGAGAAGGGAAGGTAGTAGGTAGAATATATGAGGGAACTCCGCCGTGTGACTTGCATTCCGGTACGGTTGTTATAGTGAGAACAGTCGGCCTGTGTCTGCTGCTGGTATGTCTGGTCTCACATACTGCCTGACATGATAGTTAATCAGGTTACATCATTGTACCGGACCCTCGTGTGGGAACCTCGTGTCTTCTCGGGCAGAGAGAGAGAGAGAGAGAGAGAGAGAGAGAGAGAAAGAGGGGTGAGTTAGAGAGAGGAGAGAGAGAAAGAGAAGAGGGGGGAGGGAGAGAGAGACGGAGAGAGCTTCTGTGTCTAGTACCTTAGTATTGTTTGCTATCTTCCCCTCTTTTCCCCCCAGCCACTCTCTCAACCCCCCCCCCCAGTCTAGCACAAGGTATACAGCAAGTGGCCTCACAGGCGTCAGACGTTGAATATCTATGAGCAATGAAACTGTGACAAGCCCTGTCTAGAGGCTGCTACCGCTGCTGCTATAACCACCTCAGTAACCAAAAATACAGTCGCAGCGTTTTATGCCCATATCACAGCTACCATTGCTGCTAACTTTACCGCCACTGTGGCTGCTACTACTTCGACAAAATAGAAAACTTCCGAAAACAAGGATCCTTAAAGCCTGACACTGCATCATATGCTTAATTATCAGTGAATGGGTGTTTTCAGCGGCCTGGACTATTCCTGTGGCCATGGAAGAGACACTTGTCAAAGCTGCTATTGAAAACATTATACATTAGCTATCAAAGCTATCAAAAGATGGAGGGTACAGTTTGAGGCATGCGAGGCAGGGGTCGACCACCGCGAATATGGATACAGGACATTGAAGATGCGTTGGAACTGAAAGCACATGGGGGACCGGAGAGCTGGCTAGGGAAAGGGATACTTTCAGGCGTGCCGTGAAGAGAGCGACGTTCTGTAAAGGACTTGCTAATGATGACGATCAAAGTTCTACCTGGCGAAATCACATAAATGGTGGCGATACTTTGCGGACACACTGTAGAAAAATCTGGCCGGCAGGCTGTGACAAGATCGGCTCTCGACTGGTGTCGAGGTGGAACCATGAAAGGAGAATTTGTTGTCAAACATGCATTGACGCTGTACACACCTGATGCCGCCGGCGTGGGAAGTGGGCTAAGTTCGCAGAAGAAACCTGTAGGTTCGATAGCTAGGTTCGCTTCAACGCTATAGTTCTACCCACGCTATTCTGCTACCATCAGACTTTTTGCGCTGGTTAGTTATTTTAGGCTGTCTTTGCATTGTAATACCAACCACTGGAACGAACGGGGCGGGTAGGTAGAGACTTATGGATAATATCGGTGGCTCCGATACAGCAGGCCACATACTGATCTGCACTGCTTGTTTACCTGCGAGTTAGGTCAACAGGTGAGGTTGTTGCTGCAACATGGCTAGCTCCCTGGCATCCGGGCGGTTCGAGTGGCTTATTTATATTCATGTACTGTAAGTCTTGGGGGCGAGGGGAGTAGGGAGAGGTGCTTGCTTTTCATTTCCTGTGTGATGCTGTGCACTGATTCGTGACGTAAACTGTACCTATGCCTCATGATTGGGGGGGGGGGGGGGGGGGGTACAATAAGGGCGCAGATGAAGAAGACAAAGAAAGATTTGGCTGCTGGTCGTTCACTGGTCGACAGACACCGCTGAACAGTCTTATTTAGAACGATCATACTTGAGTCCGACAAGGGCTGGATTTCTGAATTTCTAGACTTTGGTATCTGGTCTGGTGTAAAACCTGGCCACTTCTGGCGACCTGTATGACTGTGTCACAGTTATCGTGGTATCCACCACAGGCGAAGCCCAGTCTTGAGACTGACCACACCGACATTAATTAGCTGAATACTGATTTCAGCCAGCGCCAGGTGGGCGGCGTCAGAGATGCTAGAGACACCGATGTCACGTAGATTTCATGTAGTACTAGCTCTGCTGGGCACGATTGATTGTCATGGTAATTGGCGGAACGGCCAGCGGTTATCGGCCGTGCGCCGTGATTATTGTCTGTGTCTGGACATTGTGTGAGGAAAGGACATTGTTATAGTCAAGAGACTGGTTAGGCTCTCCAAGTTGAAATAATCACTAGCAAGAAAGGAGGCAGGTAAAGACATAAAATGTATGTCAGGAGTTTAAACAAGATACAACAAATAAAGCTAACAACAACTTCATAAAAATATCAGATAGCAGGAAGAAAAAAAATAAGGCGGGGGAGGGGAGGGGGGGGGACTGGCATGTAGGTACTGTAGAAGAAATAGGAAGAGCAGATGCTGCTGCTGTTTGTGGTATTGATAGTCGGCTGTTTGGCTGTGTGATAATATACCACGTTTGGTGTATGGAGTAGTGTTACACAGTATGAGTGTTTGATGATGGCAGATTTGTTGGAAAAGATGGCATTACCCACGGTTATTGAAAACTTCTGGAGCAGTCTGACTAGAAGAGACAACCGGAACAAACTTGACTTAGTCATCTACAGGCCACTTGCTGGTACAGAATAGGTATCTGGTGATAGAAAAGCAGGATACTGTTAGCTTTCTGTCATAGTGAGCAGAAACATTGCCGGACCACGTTCAGTCAGTGGATTCAACAAAGCTCTAGTTCTGACCCAAAGGTCGCCTTTTGAGTATGACATTAAGAACAGTCAGATGACGCCCCTGTGTTCCCCGAAACCACCAGGAAAGCAAAGAGTAGCTGTACTGTGACCTACCATGTATGTCCCAAGAGGCGACTAAAAGGGTTTTGTGGCGACTGGCTACCACATCCCGTATACAACTTTAGCTGCAAAGTCCAAGCAGTCATGAACACGCTTCCAAAGTTCTTAAGGTGAGGTTAAGTTGATTGATACATGTCCACTGGAATGCGAAGGGCACGAGAGCCCCATGGCAAATGCAGGAACTGATCTGCACAGTCGTCATGGAAAGTCATTGTGATTACACTGTTAGGTGTCATAGGTTGAGGTTGTTGAAATAATATCAGCGACACTGCTTTCATTGCAGGTGGTACCTTAAAGATCTATGGGGAGTCCTTGTGCCCAGATGTTCCCTACAAGACACTGTTTCTCTCTACGGCAGACCCAGCTTCGGCTGTGGTCAGGGAGTCTTTGGAGAAGTATGGCCTGGAGAAAGAGGATCCTTACAATTACTGCCTGGTTGAGGTAAGTTGGCTCATTGTTTCATTCACACTTGTATTGATGTCGCTAGACTACTACTGCCTCTCTACTGTTCCTAGCACTTCTATTACCATTACTCCTACTTGTACTACTTCTGCTGCTGCTGTTCCTTTGACTACTACTACTACTGCTGCACCTATGACTACTTCTACTACTGCACCTATGACTACTACTGCTACACCTATTATTACCACTACTGCTGCAACTATTACTACTACTGCTGCCCCCTCTCTACTATTCCTAGCACTTCTGTTACTACTAATACTACTACTAGTACTTCTTCTGCTGCTGCTGTTCCTATTACTAATACTACTACTGCACATATAATACTACTACTGCTGCTACTGTTACTGCTGCGTTTCCTGTTACTACTACGAGGGTAAGTCAATAAGTAATTCACAAATGGTTGTTTAACAAACAAACAAACAAAAAATAATGACGATAACAACTTGCAAACCATTTATTTGTACACATACACTGTCCCTTTATTTTCCAACATAATTTCCACCAACATTTATGCACTAGTCCCGATCGTTTTGTCCATCCTCTCAAACCCGCTGCATCGAACTGGGTGCTCTGTGTTCGAAACCATATTTTCACATCACATTTAACTTTTGTGTCATTTACAAGAGGTCTCCCCCCACTGTGGGTTTTCAGTGGACCAAAAAGGTGGAAATCGCTAGGGGCTAAGTCGGGCTGTAAGGTGGATGTTCCATAAGTTCCCACCCTAGATGGTTAATTTCCTCATGAGTTAACTGAGCCGAATGTGGTTCTGGCAATGTCATGAAGAAGCAGTACTCCTCTAGTCAACAGGACGACCATATCAGACTTCACCAACAATCGCAGAGCGTCCTTGAGAAGATTTTTTTTACAGGATAAACATTTTTCACCATAAACAGGAGGCATTTCATTATAAATGTTCATTGCAGCCCCTCCTTTTTTTACAAGGATCATTCACCCACCCCCTACAACAACAGGTTGTTCTTTGAGGGTACACTGCCCAAGTACAGCCGCCATTATGTGCCACCTAACGAACAGAGACATCAAGTTTGATGTTGCTGTCACCTAATGACACACTTAGAAACCACCAACTACATTTTCCTGCCATTCCATAACCATTTGTGACTTACTGTTTTGACTTCCTCTCATACTGCTGCTGTTTCTGTTACTATTACTGCTGCTGTTTCTGTTATTACTACTGCTGCTGTTCCTGTTATTACTACTGCTGCTGTTCCTTTGTTGCTGTTGCTATTCCTGCTACTGTTGCTGTTCCTTCTGCAACTGCAGCTTTTCCTATAACTTTTACTACTACTGCTGTTCCTTCTAAGACTGCTGCTTTTCTTCCACTTTTACTACTCCTGCTGTGTTCTTCAGCTATTGTTGCTGTTCCTGCCACTTTTGCTACTGCTTCTGCACTACCACTGCCAATTCCTAAGGCTCCTGGGGTACTATAGCACAGAAAAAGGGCTTTGATCACTGACTGAGCCAGGAAACTGTATGTGAGCTTGTCTCAGTGCTGACCATTTTTCTCCTAGGTGTTGTTGCCCTCTGGTGGGCTGGAGTACCATGGAGAGGCCAGAGGAGATGAGAGGGTGCTGGACGACAATGAGTGTCCACTGGCTATTGTCATGCAGCATGCCAAGCACAGAGGTCAAGGTAAGAGCCCTTTTCTTGGCATCACTCTTAAGGGTGCATTGTCTTCTGTGTAAACTTGTGGATTATCTTCTGTGTACATTCATGCATTGTATTCTGTGTAAACTCGTGGATTGTTTTCTGTGTACATTCATGCATTGTCTTCTGTGTACATTCATGGATTGTCTTCTGTGTAAACTCGTGTACTGTCTTCTGTGTAAACTCGTGGACTGTCTTCTGTGTAAACTCGTGGATTTCTTCTGTGTAAACTCGTAGACTGTCTTCTGTGTAAACTTGTGGATTGTCTTCTGTGTAAACTCATGGATTGTCTTCTGTGTAAACTCGTGGACTGTCTTCTGTGTAAACTCGTAGACTGTCTTCTGTGTAAACTCGTGGACTGTCTTCTGTGTAAACTCGTGGACTGTCTTCTGTGTAAACTCATGGATTGTCTTCTGTGTAAACTCATGGATTGACTTCTGTGTACATTTATGCATTGTATTCTGTATAAACTTGTGGATTGTTTTCTGTGTAAACTTGTGGACTGTCTTCTGTGTAAACTTGTGAATTGTCTTCTGTGTAAATTCATGGATTGTCTTCTGTGTAAACTCATGGATTGTCTTCTGTGTAAACTCATGGATTGTCTTCTGTGTAAACTCATGGATTGTCTTCTGTGTACATTCATGCATTGTATTTTGTGTAAACTCATGGAATGTTCTCTGTGTAAATTCATGCATTCTTTTTTGTGTAAATTCACGGATTGCAGTCAGTTTAAACACATGGATTGTATTTTGTGTATGTATTTATAGTATACACCTGGGCAATTAATAAATAAGTAAGACCATTCTTGAGGCCTCGGAGATGTGTTTTTACAGAACAATCCTTAGAATTCCCTGGAAACCCAAAAAGAGCAATCCAGATGTTTTGAAAGAAGTGAGGGCTCAAAGAAAACCTATCACAAACATCAGAAAGAAACAATTGTTGAATTTTTTGGGCTATATTTTGTGAAGGAAACTTGAACATGTTGTGACCACTGGAAAGATGTGTGGAAAGAGAGACAGAGGAAGACAAGCTGAAACAATTCATGACAACCTTTTGTCATGGCATGGAGGTATGTCAGCCCACAAACTGATACATACTGTTGAAAAATCACAGGTAGTGCAGAGTAATGATCCCTCACGCCAGTCGGTGAGGCACTTCATGATGAGGATAGGTATACACATTATGTTTGTGGTTAAATGGCATTATCGTGATTCTTTGTGACCTTAGTTAGTTAGTTAGTTAGTTGGGTTATCCTCATTGCACTCCGGACATGTCCATAGGTGCTCAGATCCTCCCCTCAGTATGAACCCCAACGTCCGATGGCTAATAGTACCAGTTCTATGTTGATTAACAAGTCTTCTGGCGTAGCTGGTGTGCGTCTCGTTTTTTGCTGTGCCGATCTTAATTCCCAAGTCTGCCATTCTGGCGAGTGATGTGGATTCACTGCCACCAAAGTCCTCTATTCTTCCCATTTCTCTGAGGGCATTGATAATATCAGCATGATCCATAGGCTGACCGTCGGTAGTGATAGCGGATCCAGCCAACCTGTCAGCTCTTTCATTTCCATCGACGCCTGCGTGTCCCGGAACAAAAATAAAGGTGACTCGACGAACAGTGGACTTCTGTAATGATTCAAGCCATTGTCTTCGCACTGAACCTGCCTGAACCCTCCGGATCATACTCATTGAATCACTGAGTATACACACGCGGGTGTATTTTTGTGTTTCAAGCCAGGCAAGCGCTTGTGTCACTGCCATCACCTCCATCGTCACGCTGCTGGTTGTCATGGAGAAGGCGCCGTTGGCTTCTTTGACTGTTCTGCCCGCTGAGCGTGCTGTAAATGCCCATGCGCTTCTTCTTTGGCGTATAACGGATCCGTCTGTATAGATTATTGCATCTGCTTCGTCTGAATTTTCACCGATGAGAGCGTTGACCTCTGCATTAACAGCAACAGGATTCTCTTCTCTACATCGCCTGTTGAGTGTGACAATACAGGAAAATGTACAAATAAACGCCTGAGGCACAGGTATCCATTCTGCACCAGGTATGATGTCGGTTAGGCTGCATATTTGCCTAATGACATCTTCTGCCCGACCTAGCCACGATTTCCCCCTCTTCAGTCTGTCGCCCTTTTCACTAAAAAGCGCTTGATGCAGTGGGTGTTTCTTATCAGCGCATATTTTGAGATATGCCCGAGCTCTCCACATCCTGATCCTTTGGTTCATTGTTGGAAAGTCAAGTAGATACCTCATTGCTCCACAGGATGTGTCTCTAGTACATCCCAAAATAATGCGCATGGCTTCATTTTGCACCTTTTCGAGTCGTTCAATCTGGGTAGCACTGACAGTGAGGATGGCCAGAGTGTATTCTATGGGGGAAAGGACCAGACCGTAGAATAGAAGTATTAGTAGTCTTTGCTCAATATTGGAAGCAGCCATAATCCTCATTGCAGATAGACCTTTGCGTGCTTTTGTTATCACATGGTCAACGTGTTCCCTGAATGACAAGCTGCGATCGAACCTCACCCCGAGAAACGTCATAACGTTGGTTCTGATCAATGCATTATCACGCATTTTCACTTCTGGTAAGTCCGACTTGACAATGTGATTGTTCAAAGAGAACCATGACACTGATGCCTTCGAAGGATTGACATAGGCATTGGAACCATCACACCAGGCGGCAATTTGATCGAGTTCTTTGTGCATAGTGCTGGCGATCTCCTGTCTATCACGCCCTCGTCGATAAATCAAAATGTCATCAGCAAAATCTTTGTGACCTGTTGTTTTCTTGTTCATTGTTCATTAATGAAGTCTTTGCTCAAAGAATCTGATTGTATTTGTTTCACATTTTTGTGAAGCTGCCCAGTCACTTTTAATATTTGTTCTGTTAGTAGTAGTATATTTGTGTTATACATCGTCTGACAGAAATTGAATGGTATGTTTTTTAAATTCCAGGGCACATCATTTTCCAGCTGCGCAAAAGAACAGATGACTCGAAACGGAGGCAGAAGCAAAGATCAGTTTCTCATGAGGACCTGCGGGCTCATCCCAGTGACCAGCGACATACAAACTTGGACATGCTGCCATACTTAATTGAAATGAATGTCAGAGGTATGGCCACAGTTGTATCTTATACAAATCACATCTCTGTTTTTTTTTTTGGGGGGGGGGGGGGGGGGGCTCACACTGGTCCTAGTTCATCAGCAGGTGTGGTTCAGCAGCAGGTGTGGTTTAACACCAGGTGTGGTTTAGCACCAGGTGTGGTTCAGCACCAGGTGTGGTTCAGCACCAGGTGTGTTTCAGCACCAGGTGTGGTTCAGCTCCAGGTGTGGTTCAGCTCCAGGTGTGGTTCAGCTCCAGGTGTGGTTCAGCTCCAGGTGTGGTTCAGCAGCAGGTGTGGTTCAGCTCCAGGTGTGGTTCAGCACCAGGTGTGTTTCAACAGCAGGTGTGTTTCAACAGCAGGTGTGGTTCAGCACCAGGTGTGGTTCAGCTCCAGGTGTGGTTCAGCTCCAGGTGTGGTTCAGCAGCAGGTGTGATTCAGCTCCAGGTGTGGTTCAGCAGCAGGTGTGGTTCAACACCCCTGAGTGCCCCTTGGTAATTTTCGAGTGATCTCTATTGTTCTGATCAGGTCAGTTTGTGTAGTCGTGCCAAAATGACATAACTGAGGGCATGAATAATGATGTTCACAACCAATAATATCATTTCAGTCTGAATCATAGAGACCTTTTCTCCATGTCTTGGGTTTGTTAGGCATATGATGCTGCCACATACTTTTATAGACAAGTTGACATTCAGTGGGTGATGTTTTCATGATCACATCAATAATCTGCAGTCAAGGATATGTCAGCAGGTAAGAAAGTTAAATATGCACTCTAGCCTGTAGCACTTGGCAGAATGCTGTGTCAAACTTTGGCAAGGACAGCACCTCAATGGAAAAGTTAAACAGGAGACATGGATGACCGAATATAACCTGGAGGAGGACATCAGGAAATGTAAACTGACATGGGATACCATCGTCAGTCAGGTAGGCAATGGAGATCACTTGTGGGAGCCTTATGTGTTAGCAGTGTCATGAAGTGGACATACTTGTTGATAGACACAACTAAGGATGATCAGGGTTTACAAGAGTGGCTGCAGACAGAATATGAATAACAAGTAAATGTAGTTAATGTCATGTCACTTGCGGTCTTCAGGAAATGGATATTTTCTGTTGCAGGAAAGCCCAAGCGTCATGTGCTGCCACTGAATGTCACAGAGGTCGTCAATGTCACTGAGGTTGCCAACAATAAACCAGATTACAACGGCAAACATTTTCTCCAGGTGAGACATTGTCCGTAGACCCATAGTGAAGCTAGTCCTTTGGCAGGTCTTGCTGCTGGGGTGGCAGTGGTTAAGTCTTGATGTGTTCTAGGCTTAGGCGTGATGAGGTAGGCTGGCAGGTTTGCTTTCCTGAACACATTAACACCTTTCATTCCCAGAAAATTTTTAGAATAATTATGAAAAATAATCTTGTATCCATTTTGTGATACATTTTTGTCTCAGCATTATCTTGTCTTGCCTGTCAAATACATTTGTCTCAGCATTATCTGGTCTTGCCTGTCAAATACATTTTTGTCTCAGCATTATCTGGTCTTGCCTGTCAAATACATTTTTGTCTCAGCATTATCTTGTCTTGCCTGTCAAATACATTTGTCTCAGCATTATCTGGTCTTGCCTGTCAAATACATTTTTGTCTCAGCATTATCTTGTCTTGCCTGTCAAATACATTTTTGTCTCAGCATTATCTGGTCTCTTGCATTTTTGTCTCAGCATTATCTGGTCTTGCCTGTCAAATACATTTGTCTCAGCATTATCTGGTCTTGCCTGTCAAATACATTTTTGTCTCAGCATTGTCTTGTCTTGCCTGTCAAATACATTTGTCTCAGCATTATCTGGTCTTGCCTGTCAAATACATTTTTGTCTCAGCATTGTCTGGTCTTGCCTGTCAAATACATTTTTGTCTCAGCATTATCTTGTCTTGCCTGTCAAATACATTTTTGTCTCAGCATTATCTTGTCTTGCCTGTCAAATACATTTGTCTCAGCATTATCTGGTCTTGCCTGTCAAATACATTTGTCTCAGCATTATCTGGTCTTGCCTGTCAAATACATTTGTCTCAGCATTATCTGGTCTTGCCTGTCAAATACATTTTTATCTCAGCATTATCTGGTCTTGCCTGTCAAATACATTTTTATCTCAGCATTGTCTTGTCTTGCCTGTCAAATACATTTGTCTCAGCATTATCTGGTCTTGCCTGTCAAATACATTTTTGTCTCAGCATTGTCTTGTCTTGCCTGTCAAATACATTTGTCTCAGCATTATCTGGTCTTGCCTGTCAAATACATTTTTGTCTCAGCATTGTCTGGTCTTGCCTGTCCAATACATTTTTGTCTCAGCATTGTCTGGTCTTGCCTGTCCAATACATTTTTGTCTCAGCATTGTCTTGTCTTGCTTGTCCAATACATTTTTGTCTCAGCATTGTCTTGTCTTGCCTGTCCAATACATTTTTGTCTCAGCATTGTCTTGTCTTGCCTGTCCAATAACCAAACAGAAATCATGTACTGATTGTGACCTGGCCATCAGCCTGTAACTTCGGGCTGTAGATTGTGTCCAAGTGCCAGGTGTGATGTGTCAGCTAATGGTAGCATGTGCCTTTGTAAGGTGTTGATGTTGTCGATCCATCTGCTTCTTGGTCTTTCTCCTGATTCATCATTTGTTCTACAGTTATAGGGACGTGATGTAGATCCATTTGAAGATCCATCAGCTACTTTGACTTCTTCACTCATTGTTCTACATTTTTTAAAGATGTTGGTGTTGTCAGTCCATCTGCTACTTTGATTTCCTCACTTGTTGTTCTAGTTATAAGATGTTGATGTTGTTGACCCATCTGGTTCTTGATCTTCCTCATTCTTTTGTGTTTTTTCTTGATTTTCACAATATGCATATTATTATTTGAATATAACATGCTTTTTTTGATAAAATACAACTGCTGGTGTATGTTAATGTAAGACGGGCCTGCGTACCCAATTTGTGACCGTTTGAAAATAAAATTTGTTTGTTCGTTTATTCACTTGTTCTACAATTATAAGGACACAAGACTAGTTCTAGCAGTTTGCAGTCTCATTAGATGCTCCTACAGTTTCTCTTATGTCATCCTTTCTGAGCCTGTCCCTTTTGGTTATATAGATAATATTTCAGCTGACATGTGATCTTCCTCTAGATTTGTCTGGGTCATGTCTGTGGACTCAAATACACACCCACTAGGTCTTTTGTGTCCGCTGAAGTCTTTTGGCAGGATATCGGTGTCTGTGTCTTTCTCTGTAGTCAAATCTCTTGTCTGTTTCTATCAACACCTCCTCCCCTCCCAACCACCACCTTCCATCCATCTGTTTTTTTTTCTCTCTTTGCCCCCTTCTCTCCCCATCTTGTGTGGCATCAAGTCTTGTCTCATGAGAGTTTTCTTTTTAATGCAGGTACCTTGTATTTCCTCTTGAATGTTGCTGTCTTTATGTCTCTTAGTTTGTTGCATCAGCTTTTCTTCTGAATGTAATGTTTTTGTGAGTTAAGCAGTTTCTTCTTGAATCTTGACCAGTCAAAGTTCCATGCAAGTTGCATGTGTCAACTAAAAGGGGAAAATATTGCAGGTTAGCTGTAAGCCGACACAGCAAAAACTTCCCTGAGCAGTCATGAAAAAAATATTTAAGTTTACAAATTTATGCTGTGTTTATGCACATATATATTTAACTTTTGAATGGTCTTCCCTGACAGCTGTCTGGATCAGACATTCGACCCAGACATTGCGTGATAGCACACACAGATGGGATCGTCACAGTGACACCAAACAGCCAGAACGCAGAAACCTACGTGGAGAGGCAGAGAATCTACGAGACCACCATGTTGAAACATGGCATGACTGTCCAGTTTGGCAAGGACAAAGTGTACAAGTTTCTGGACCCAAGATTTGATGAGGTACCTGTCTTATCTAACAGTCAGCTAGCTGTCTTTCTCTGTGGACTCTTTCTTTACAGCAGGACATTTTTCAGGAAAATATCTTTTAGATAATGAGGTCACAAACAATATATTCAAAGTTGATTGCCTCGCATTTTCCCCTGTATCTCCTTAGCTGCATTTCTTATTGTGTGACTTTATTATTACATTAAGGACTTGAAATCATTACAATTATCTTCTAATAGAGTATTTCAGAACATTTCTTTCAGTAGAGCATGTTTGGGTTTCCGGTTTGTGTCAAGATGGCGGGACGTGTTTCTCTCTAGCTCGGCGCATATCGGTTGATCGACGGTCCGACAAGCTGTCATCGCAAACCACCAATTGTTGTAGAATCAGATTTCTGGCTCTAACTGCATGATGATTCGTTCTAATCTGTTAAATTCAAAGGACATCTTAAAAATTGGTTACTCAAAATTCTGGAAGACCTAGACTTCGCCGACGACATAGCACTCCTGAGTTCAGAACACACAGACGCCCAAGAAAAAATCAATCGACTCCAGAAATTCTCAGAACAAATTGGACTCCAAATTAACACCGCAAAAACAAAAATTCTAGACCTTACCAACAGTTTAGTTGATATCACGCTGAACAACAACAGCCTTGAAAAAGTCAACAATTTCACTTATCTAGGGAGCAAGATGTCATCTACAGGAGATACCGCACCAGAAATACCATTTAGAATAGCACTGGCATTTAGTGCCTTCAATAAACTGTCCAACATCTGCAAATCAAAGACACTTAGCAAACACACAAAACTCAAGATCTTCACTTCTTGTGTGATTCCAGTACTAACCTATGGATGCGAGAGCTGGAAATTAACGAAAACTCTAGACACAAAATTAGACAGTTTTGAAAATAAATGCCTTAGAAGAATACTAAATTTCAAATGGTCAGATTTTCGAACCAATACACAAATAAGGCAAGAATCCAGGCAAGAGTATGTGTCTAATTTTATACGAAAACGCCGCTGGAACTATGTCGGCCACGCCCTTAGAATGGATAAATCAAGACTTCCTTACCAAGCCCTCATTTGGACACCACAGAGGAAAAGACCTCGTGGAAGACCAAGGGAAACCCTACGTAGAACTATCATCAGGGAAGGCTCGCTCATGGGCCACTCAAACATCCAAGACCTACAACAGATTGCAACAAACCGCCATGCATGGAGAGTCATGACCTCTGCCCTATGTGCCGCACTCGACACAAGAGGAAAGACTAACTAACTAACTAACTAAGAGCATGTTTAATAAAATTAGAGCATTTCAGAACATTATCTTTCAGTAGAACTTGTTTCATAAAATTGCCTTCTAATAGAGCATTTCAGAACATTATCTTTCAGTAGAACATGTTTCATAAAATTGCTTTTTAATAGAGCATTTCAGAACATTATCTTTCAGTAGAGCATGTTTCATAAAATTGCTTTTTAATAGAGCTTTTCAGAACATTATCTTTCAATAATGTGCGTTTCAGGAAATTGCCTTTTAATAGAGCATTTTTCAAGAAGCTGTTATTCAGTAGCTAATTTTAGTTTAGAAATATTTCCTCTAGTGTGCTAGCTAACAACAAAGTACCCTAAATCTATAAAGATGAAAGGTCACTGTTGACCAGAATCATGTTTGTTTTCAGCTTGTGATATATGTAAATTGTCCCATTATAAATTGTATTCTGTCTTATTTGTAGGTTCCTGCAAAGCCTTACCAAGTGCCAAACAAAGGCCAGCAGCGTGTGCATCCACAGGAGACCAACTTTGACGTTGATGGGCACATTGAAACAGTCAGTGCGGGACCCTCACCCCGGCCGGGGACTTTGGCATGGGAGACACAGCAGAGAAGGTCTGTTGAGCTTTGAGGTGGTTACTCTCTGTACATTTTATTATTTGAATGAGAATGGAACCTACTACACCAACTCTGTATTGTGCCAACAACTGTAGGAGACTAGAGGATGAGACATGAGGAAGACCAAGCACCAGATGGGCGAGCAATATCAGCACAAAGTGATACTGGCTTACATTTCACCAGCACTAGAACATAGGCTGCAACTTATGTTAACACTTCATGAGACATTCTGAGTTAGCACACCTCGAACATAACAGTTGTGGGTTGTCAGCGCCGTATCCTTCAGTGTTACCAAATGTCTGAAATTGTTGTCACATCTGGTGTGGAGTTGAAGCCTCTGCTGTCTTGGTGCTCATGAAGCAAGGTTTTATCAGCATGACAACTGAAGTCTAGCCACTGGCACTCTCTCCTGGTGGCAGGATCTGGACTACAGATGAGATGCATGCCAAGTTTGCAGTCGTACACTTGTATGGGCTGTATATACTTGAAGTCAGCTTAGCAAAGAGCTGTAATTGTTCTGTTATGTAGTACTGATCTGATCAGTCACAACAGAAGTAATAAACAGCAATGTTTCAGAAAAATTCTCTGAAGAAGATTGATGTTTGAAATGTCACTGTTTACTTGTTTTAGTGTGCCTTCACAGGCTAGTATTATTCCTAATATGAAGGCTATTCAAATGACGGGCCGAATGTGGCCTGCGGAAGCCTAGCAAGTGGCCCATGGATCATTGCCAGTTGTGTTAATGATCTTCGTATGCTAGGGCTTGGGACCTCTGGCCCACGATGGTCCCCATTTTCAAAATTGTGGCTCCTGGTTAAACTTTGTTGAATAGCCGTGCTGTTATGTGTAGCACCCGCACTGTAAAGGAGGCAGGGCATAGGTTTGTTGTCAGAGAAGATTCTGAAGGCCAGGAGACGGAAAAACAGGCTGGGGACAAGTATGAAGACCATTCCACACAGCATAGACAAGAGGAAGAAAACAGTTGTCAGATAGCCAGCAGCCTCGACCAGGAGTTATTGTTCATGCAGTATATGTATTTACAAAGAAAATAATTAAACAATAAATAAAACAATTCATTTTTGTAAACAGTATGGTTGACTGATTGTCGTTATACAATAAATAAAACAATATGTTTTTGTAAACAATGTGGTTGACTGATTGTCGTTATACAATAAATAAAACAATACATTTTTGTAAACATGTGGTTGACTGAATGTTATTTCAGGAGTGGTTCAGAGAGATCTGGCTCATCACTGAGGTCACAAGGAGCAGAGGACCTGCCTGCTGCTGTTGAGTTTGGACTGGACGGTGAGGCTTTGATATAATACAAGCTGTTTGTCTTGACTCCACTGGAACGTTATTGAATGCAGTTGTTTAGCATTTGATTTAGATTTCATCACTGCTTGTCTTGACTCTACTGGAACGTTATTGAATGCAATTGTTTACCACTTGTTAGATTTCATCACTGTTTGTCTTGACTCCACTGGAACTTTATTGAATACAGTTGTTTACCACTTGATTTAGATTTCATCACTGTTTGTCTTGACTCCACTGAAACTTTATTGAATACAGTTGTTTACCACTTGATTTAGATTTCATCACTGTTTGTCTTGACTCTACTGAAACTTTATTGAATACAGTTGTTTACCACTTGATTTAGATTTCATCACTGTTTGTCTTGACTCTACTGAAACTTTATTGAATACAGTTGTTTACCACTTGTTAGATTTCATCACTGCTTGTCTTGACTCCACTGAAATGTTATTAAATGCAGTTGTTTACCACTTGATTTAGATTTCATTATTAAATGCCATCTCAGCACCTTCCCTGATCAGATCCCTTTAGAACATTCTTGAAATTATACACATGTATTGCAAAGGTCAGTAGGGGAGGCAAAGAAAAGCACCACTCTCACTTACCATACATGTTGTGTCCTGAAAGTACCTCATACAGTAAAAAAAAACTAGCTACAAAACTCCACCTCCCCCTGTGGGTTCTGGGACCCCATTGTGAGCAAAACAAGAATAGACCCACTGCATCCCCAACAAGCATGTTGCAAGAGTCGTCAAACTGGAGGCTACTTCGAAGTCGGAGTGCATCTGCTTGAGAGGCAAGGGACCAACAGTCTGCACATAAATAAGTCAGATATGTAAAATGGATATGCACACAACACTCAGGTTCTGGAAAAAGACAAAAGTCCAAAGGTGGATGGACAACCAGAACTTTGCTGAAGTTTACAGCCGGTGAACGTCAAGAAGAAAAGCCAACTGGCCTTGGATAAGATCATAAAGGGTTTAGCGTAAGATGATTGAGAGTCTGTGCTCTCTGTCATTGGTTTCTAACTGGGGGAGGGTGGGCATCCAAAACACTGCTTTTCATCCAAAACACTGGTCAGCTAGACATCATTGATCTGACCTTTATCTGACAGCTGAAGATCGCTTGCTGCAAGCTTCTATCCTGGAGGTCAAGAACAAACAGGTCCAGTTTAAGCTGGCTCCGACCTACACTTTGTACATGTCAGTCAGACATCTGCTGTCTCCCAAATCTCCGGTGACTCACCGAGCCCAGCTTGTCACAGATTTCGTCACCAAGACTTCAAAGATGTTTCAGCGCAGCATCCAGGTAAGAATGCAGATCTTTTTATATCTGTTTTATGTGTGTGTGTAAACACTATAGGTTCATTCATGTGTGTTTAGATCATGTTCATATATAGTCAGTAATTCCCACACCGGTTCACACTTCTCCATGTGTTGTTAGGTGTTCCTAATTTCTTTTGCTTTGTGGATTCCAGTGTAAAGACATTCAATTTATACTATTATTAGGTAGTTTCAGTGTGTTTCTTATCCAGTATCAGATTCCTTTCTCCCCACAGCTATTGAAATTACCCAAAAAGATCTCTCGCAGAGCTCGACGTGATTGATTCTCTCATACCATTTAATTTCTTCAAAAGGCACAATGTTGTTAACCCTTTAAAAAATACAGTGGTTCATTCATTTGTTTTGTTTATTTAGCTGCCAGTTAATGCCAGTGTGAAGTTTATTGGCCGTGGTAAATATTTTTGTTCATACATTTAAATGATAATGGCTTTCACAGATTTCCTGCTAGTGCTGTGATAGCTTGGAGAGAGGTTTCAGCGGGGGGATTTTGTTCATGTTTGCTTGATCTTTATTTCTGTCTTCTCCATTTGAGTTTCAGATTTGTGTATGAGTAGGGTTGTTAGATCCTGAAAGTGAAAATGGGAAGGTTTTTGAGATGTAGCTTATTTGATTTATTTTCTGTTGTCACTGTAACTGCTGAAACCAACTGCAGACTTTGTGAATGTAATGTAACAACCATGGAATATCTGTCACAGTTATTGTACCCCTGATTTTGTACTGTGGAAATATACAAAGACAACACTAGGAGTCTTAAAATGTACTTTTGAATTGCCTGTCCCCAGGATCACCACAACGACCCTTCTTCTCTAGCCTTTTGGATGGCTAACTCCTCCGAGCTGCTGCACATGTTCAAACAGGACAGGGATATCCACCCGCTGAGTGGCGTGGCCCAGGAGATGTTGGCCGAGGCTGTGCAGGCAGCCTTCCATCACCTGGTCAGGTGTCTGCAGGGCGACCTTCAGAGAATTATGCCTGCTTTCCTGGATCAGTCAGATGCCAGCGATGGTGATGATAGTAAGTGAGATGTCTTGTTAAGGTTCTCAGTTATTGTCCGTACACGTCAGTAGCTGCTGACAGAGACTGAGCCTTTTTATGTATGTCCTGACTGCCATGATCTCATTTCTGTTGAACAGTAAGTAACCAGTACAGTGTTGTTGGTGGAGTCATTTGAAGGAATGAGATAGCACATTCTGTAGACAAGTAAACAGAGGTAATGAGAGAACCAAGATCAAGCAACAGTATACATGCAGGCAAGGAGATGGCCACATATCAGATGTCAGAGTTGGGGAAATCTTTTGTGGGGGAGCAGAGCCAATGTGTCCTTTGTGAAGTTATTGTAGTAATCATTTCCTGATAAGGGAATCTTTTGTGAAGGAGCAGAGCCAATGTGTCCTAAGTGAAGTTATTGTAGTTATCATTTCCTGATAAGGGAATCTTTTGTGAAGACAGAGCATTGTGTCCTACGGGAAGTTATTTTAGTAATAATTTCCTGATAACTGATCTTGAGAATTTTATTTCAGAAACGGGACATCGCTACAACATGGGTCGCCCCACCATAGACGACATCCTAGACACCTTGTCAGCAGCCATGACCCTGCTTCGACGCTGCCGGGTCAACGCAGCCCTCACCATCCAGCTGTTTTCCCAGCTGTTTCACTTCATCAACATGTGGCTGTTCAACATCTTGGTCAGCGAGCCACAGCTGCAGCTGTGTACCCGGGCCTGGGGCTCTCGTCTGAAGAGGCGGCTCGGCCGTGTTGAAACCTGGGCGGAGAATCAAGGTCTGGAGCTGGCTGCTGACTGCCATTTATGTAGAATTATTCAGGTAAACTGCCTTCATGTTCCTTTGATTGCGTTTGTTATCACAGGTATCATTTGTAAATACAGGTCAGAGAGGTTTTGGAAAATGATATCGGGAAGGACAGATACATTTGAGACTTTTCACAATAGATGTCTAAGCAGAATCCTGCAAGTATATTGCCCAACAGTATCGTAAATGAAAAACTGAGGAGACAGACAAAATGATCATCTCTGACAAACGTTCTCGGAGGAAGAAGATGGAGATGGCTTGGACATGTGCTAGGACTGGCTGGGATATACATATATATATATATAGTCATAGATAACTTGGCTGTGTGAGGGTCACAGCAGTGAAATACACTTGTTTCTACAAGTCATTGTTGTCATTTGAAAGTGACAAGATTTTAATTTTGATGTAGTCACAAACAGTTTTATTTTTTAATGTTGTTTAGTGGGTCCTCTAATCTCAGTTTCGTTCCTTCACTTCTGTGAGTGCCAATAAGTACCCCATAATGTATAACTCTTGCTTTCCTACAGTTGAGAGGACATTGTATCAACCAAATATAAATTTTCCTCAACCTTCCCACAGGCAGCCCATCTCCTGCAAGCTTCTAAATCCAGCCCTGATGACATCACCAACATCAGCTCCACCTGCTTCAAGCTCAACTCCGTCCAGCTGCGCTGTCTCCTCACCCGCTACCTTCCCGAGCCCAACGAGCCGCCCGTATCTCCAGCGTTTGTGGAGCGGGTGGTGTCCATCGCAGAAAACATGGCCGATGAATTAGCCCGTTCTGATGAACGGGAGATCCGATTGGAGGAGGACAGTGACCTTCACCTGCCATTTCTGTTGCCGGAAGATGGATATTCCTGTGACACTATTCGGGGAATCCCCAATGGGCTGCCAGAGTTTGTCAAACAGCTGGAAAATTCTGGTAAGACTCAGATTGTTTCTACAGTGTTTTCAGGATTTGTCGAAAGTTTTCTTTTGTGTGAAATAAATATGTGTAAAGGGTTGTCTTGCAGTTAAGAGTCGCACTATTAATGAAAACAGAGAACCTTGTATTCATTTTGTCACACAACATTTGAGTTTGAACTTCTTGTGACTGTCAACTGCCAGGGTACGCAAGCCGTCAACAACTTCATACTGGCCTTTTTTAGATTTATTGATCAGTTTCAGTCCTAGATTTTCCACAGGTCAACATCCCAAATGAAATAGTAATGACAGTAAAATAGAATCAATCCCCTACTTTCAAATTCCCAACAAATGGTCTGCTGCTAGATGACACATTAATCCAGATTTCTTTAGTATGAAGTTATTTTTACACACCATTTGGTGCTGGAAATGCATCAGGCAGTGTTTCACCCACAGTAAACCTTTGATCAACCGTACCAGTTTAAAATGTTCTGTCTTCTGAAGCTCTTCCCACCTTTACCAGACTTCCCAGTTCATCTCTTCGACATGCATGCTAGCTCACAGTGTTTCACCCACAGTAAACCTTTGATCAACCGTACCAGTTTCAAATGTTCTGTCTTCTGAAGCTCTTCCCACCTTTACCAGACTTCCCAGTTCATCTCTTGGACATGTATGCTAGCTCACAGTGTTTTACCTACAGTAAACCCTTGATCAACCATACCAGCTTCAAATGCTCTGTCTTCTAAAGCTCTTCCCACCTTTACCATGCTGCCTGTCTATCTTTCTAATGTACTTCTCCATATTTGTTTTTATCCCTGTATATCATGACAGTTTCATGACCATCAGTCTGTGGCCGCCATATTATTTAAAAATGGAAGTGTTCTTCTAGCATTTTGACAGTGGTATGGGAATCACATCACGGAAGAGATTGGGCCCCACCACATAATATTTCTACGGTTATCTGTGGGTACACTGCAGCCCACCTTTATTGTGGCGACGACAAAGAATTTTTTTTTTTTTTTTAATAAACTCAAGAATGGTCACATTCATCCTAGAAATAGGATTGACATCTTCCCTTGGAGTACATATGCCAGAGAGGCAGAGAACAAGAACGGCACACAATCAAGCCAGTAAAATAGATGTACTTGAAACAGTTGGCCCTTGGTACAAGGCCAAAGTCCAAACAACCAGGACCTTCCGCCAGTAAATGCAAAGAAGAAGAAGAAAATTCTAGAGCATTTGCTGAGCTTTCCCAGCCAACCAGTCCAGTGTTTCCCCAGCTGCTGATTAAGATTTATGGCTAGAGATTCTGACTCTTCTTACTCAAATGTGATTTTGTTTTTTATTCTGTTTGAAAACAGGCTTGTGTAGATTTGTCATCAACAGTGCTGCGTCTGGCAGCTGGACTGTGTATATGGGGGACGAGCACATGTCCGATGTAAGTAGTTCTTGCCCTCGTAAAGTATTGACAGGTCGCATGTTTAGAAGTTAAGATTTGTGATGTGGTGCGTAGGTCATATGTCTTGTGGTGTGTTGGACATATGTGATATGTTGGACATATGTGACATGTACATTGAACATATATGGCATAGTATGTTGGATATGTGTGGCTTGGTTTATTGGACTATGTGGCCTGGCATGTTGGATATATGTGGCCTGGCATGTTGGATATATGTGGCCTGGCATGTTGGATATGTGGTTTGGTATGTTGGACACATGGAGCTTGGTTTATTGGATATATGTGGCCTGGCATGTTGGATATATGTGGCCTGGTATGTTGGACATATGGGGCTTGGTTTATTGGACATATGTAGCCTGTCATGTTGGATATATGTGGCCTGGTATGTTTGACATAATGGGGCTTGGTTTATTGGACATATGTGGCCTGGTTTATTGGACATATGTGGCCTGTTATGTTGGATATATGTGGCCTGGTATATTTGACATAATGGGGCTTGGTTTATTGGACATATGTGGCCTGGTCTGTTGGATATATGTGGCCTGTCATGTTGGATATATGTGGCCTGGTATGTTTGACATAATGGGGCTTGGTTTATTGGACATATGTGGCCTGTTATGTTGGATTTATGTGGCCTGGTATGTTTGACATAATGGGGCTTGGTTTATTGGACATATGTGGCCTGGTCTGTTGGATATATGTGGCCTGTCATGTTGGATATATGTGGCCTGGTATGTTTGACATAATGGGGCTTGGTTTATTGGACATATGCGGTGGCGCGGTGATTTATGTCACAGGCGTGAGGGGAAGTTAAGTCCAACATGATGTGTATAAGGAGATACTCCGTACGTCACTCGGGCGCCAGTCCTTTAATATCCAGGTTGTACGGAACCTCACGCAAGACCCCGGCAGCACGTCCTCGTCGTGCGCCACGGATAATGTCTCAAATGAGCATTAACAGAGCTGCCAGGGGATCTCGGAGTTTGGCGGCCCCCAGAGGTGATGTGTCCCTGTGGCTCTCATCAGCCCGCCCCCAAACGCTTGGGTGAAAAATTGTTATCAAAACTCATTAGGAACATGAGCAGGTCTGCCAAACGTACAGCCAAAATTACAACCCTTGGTTAAAAGACGGCGGAATAAAGAGAACATTGTTCACTGCACATCCTCTGTTAACCCTCAGTGTCGTCGTCACCGCGCTGGGGTACACCACAACAGAAACCATCCATAGGCTGGCCATTCATGTACATCCTCGGTTAACCCTCAGTGTCGTCGTCACCGCGCTGGGGTACACCACAACAGCAACCATCCATAGGCTGGCCATTCATGTACATCCTTTGTTAACCCTCAGTGTCGTCGTCACCGCGCTGGGGTACACCACAACAGCAACCATCCATAGGCTGGCCATTCATGTCCTTGGTAAACCCTCAGTGTCGTCGTCACCGCGCTGTGGTACACCACAACAGCAACCATCCATCGATCGGATGGCTAAGCCTAAATTTCCGACAAAACTAGATCATACTGATCAAAATCTGACCTCAAAATTAGAATTGAACTGAAAAAGACCAAATGTCCACACCCAAGGACACCACTCGCCCGAGTGTCGGGACAAAACTGATAACGATATGCCTGATGCAGGATGTAAAATCTGTCGGGCTAACGGCTCGTCAAAGAAATCTAACGTGCGAAGAAAAAAGAATGTACCTATCTGTGTGGTTACAAAAGTCCAAAACCCGCGGGCTGCTCCCCGCTGACCCCCAGAGGGCGCAGCCCCTGTCGAGCGGGAAGCCTGATACAGTTGTGAGGTTAAGCAGGCTTGTGCAGGACGTGACGATTCCTTGGGTGAGCCCAGAACCAGAGCGCCATGTGTCGGCTCTGCATACATGGATGCCTCCTTGGATGGCGGGGAATGCCCAAGATCTGCCCCTGCCTTCCCTTGAGGGCTAACTGTTCCACAGGGGGCCGACCCAAAGGGGTATTCCGGGGGCTATACCTGCAGCAAAGGAGACGAAGTGGACACCACACAAATCAGGCAACGTCTCGACCCACACAAAACAATGGCCACAGTCACCCTAGAAATAGGCCTGACGTCTTCCTTCGAAGTCGGCGTACAGCTGCCCATGAGGCAGGGAAATAAAAAACGGTTGTACACGCAAAAATCAGGCCCAGGTGAAAGCCAAAAGTCCAAGCGGACGATTACCTGACCTTCCACTGGAATTCACAGCCGGTGTTCGATGGAAAAAAAAAAAAAATTGGACATATGTGGCCTGTTATGTTGGATTTATGTGGCCTGGTATGTTTGACATAATGGGGCTTTGTTTATTGGACATATGTGGCCTGGTCTGTTGGATATATGTGGCCTGTCATGTTGGATATATGTGGCCTGGTATGTTGGATATATGTGGCCTGGCATGTTGGATATATGTGGCCTGTTATGTTTGACATACGTGGCTTGGTTTATTGGACATATGTGGCCTGGTCTGTTGGATATATGTGGCTTAGTTTATTGGACATATGTGGCCTGGTCTGTTGGATATATGTGGCTTAGTTTATTGGACATATGTGGCCTAGTATGTTGGATATATGTGGCCTGGCATGTTGGAGATATGTGGCCTGGTATGCTGAATATATGTGACCTGGTATGTTTGACATATGTGGCACTCATTTTTTCTTCATTTACTGTGTTTTTCTAGACTTTGGGGAAAAAAAAGGATGTGAAATGTTTTCCACTGATTTACTATGAGGATTAATATTTTAGTGATTTCTGTTCAAATGTCTGCATCCTTGTGGTGTCAAGCATGATTGCCAGTGTATTGAACTTGGGAGTGAAAACTCTTGTCTTCCCAAGGGTCGACAGCCAAGCAGCCATTGTAACTCTGCACATGTCAATGACATTTCTCATATTTTCATCCTGCAGCGAACGGGAGGAAGTCCAGACCTGGCCCTGCCACCGACCCCAGAGATCATCACAATCGCTTTCAACAAGGTCAAGGGCAGTATGGGACTCAGTATTGTTGCAGCCATTGTAAGTATCCATGTTTAAAAAAAAAAAAAAAATTATTTACTACATTTTGCATTTACTTATTCAGCCAGCAAGTAGCAAGATCTATGTTGAATATCACTCTCGGCACTGTCACCATGGAGACTGCACCCTTGCCAGTTCTTCCTGTCTCATGTCTTCTCACAGCCCTGACATCTATATCCTGTTTCTGACACATTTAAGGTAGACAGCCCCAAGTGAGCTCTAGAATACACCAACATACATCCCACTGTGTGTGGAATCTCTGAGGAAGTTATCACTGGCTGAAGTTAGTTTCTTCTTTGTGCTGGGTGTGCAAGTGTTAGAGGAAATTAACGTGCTGATAGACTTGCTGGCTGATCTGCTGTGAAGCAGTGGACTGAGCTGATGTACTGTGTGTCTTAAAGTTCATTTATGTGATCACAAAATAAGTAACTATGACCGGGTGACAAGAACAGCAGGTCAAAATTTGTGAAACCAGACGACAAACGCTGTGCAGAGTATCGAGGAGAATAGTAAACTAACCCAGAACTGGTGTTGTCATTTGCAACATGCTGAGGGGGGTACTAAAGAGGGAGTCCAAGCACTTATGAACTGAAATGTTAATATTAGGTAAGGAGTATCAATCAGTTAACCTCTGAGAAGCTGGGATATCTTGTGCATACAGTATCAGAACATCAGAAAATTAGAGGAAGGGGATTATTATTGTTGGGTTATGACAAATTTTTGTTATAGTTATTATTATTATCATCATCATCATTATCATTGTGTAGGGTGAAGGGCAGCCTGAACAAGGGATCTACATCAAATCTGTAGTGGAAGGTGGTGCTGCCGCTTTGGTAAGTACTTGCTAGATTTCTGTGTCTGTTTGTATCAGGGATCAGTATAACATGCAGTTTGTATGCTTGTTGGATAAACATTAAGGGGTTTTCTGTTTGGATAAGCAATAGGAGATCTTTAATACTGGATTCCCGATGTGGATTCTGAGGCCCTAAAAGTAAAATAACATGTCCTGTTTTGCTCAGGGCAGAAAGGGTTGAGAAGCCTCGATGCCCTTGAATTCTGGAGAAACAAATAATTACAGGCCTATTGTGAGAGGAGACAGAGAAAATCTGGTCATTATAGATCAGCTGTTCTCATCCTGCCGGTCACTTCCCCTTTCACAGGGAACATCGGAACACACATATTCATCGAAGTTAGGGAGAAAAATAATTGTTTGGGGGTCGCCACAACATGAGGGAACTGTATTAAAAGGTCACGGCATTAGGCAGGTTGAGAGCCCCTGCTGTAGATGATATTGTCTCTGTGTGTGTATCTGTGTGTGTGTGTGCAGAGTTTTTTCAACACTGGCCAAACCTACCTAGCCATTGGAAGATTTTAGCCTGTTTCAAATGCCCTGCTGTATGGCAGCGGACACTCGAATGAGGTGGTGATTTCTCTGCGTCTTCTCCAAGTTAATGATCAAACTTGCTGTTTGTTTGCCAGCATAAAGTCATCACCATTTCTTTAATTAATAATTGTGTGCATGATTAAACAACTCAAATTACAGGGTTTGTACAACTACACTAAAATTGCCACCAACAACAGCAGCAGAAACAACAACAACAAAACAACAACAGTTGGCTTAAAATGACAAATTGGCCACACAGTTTGTAAATATGTTTCTATTGTGAATGTTTTCCAGGATGGACGGCTGCAAGCTGGGGACCAGTTACTGGAAGTGGACGGGAAGTCTCTGATAGGTGTCACTCAAGACAAGTAAGTCTGTGTCTCATCCTGTGCCGTTGCACCTGATCATATCTCACACAGCTGGCTCCGCCTAAGAGCAGGACAGGTCAGAGAACATGACTCCTTCAACTGCTGAGGGATTAAACTGCAGCCATCTATCTTGGTGTGCAAGTGCACTGATTGCTGCACCACCATGTGCAGTGACTTAGTACTAGAAGATTTGGTTGCAATAAGTAGGGACATAACAGATACAGTGACAAGAGCATTAGTGACTTGTAAAAAGACATGTACTGTGCTATAAGTTAGCCAGATTTCTGTAGTCTGTTCAAACCAAATATAAAATATATAATTACACACATTGTTTGGTACACACTGACTGTAGCTGATCACAGACTGTATGGTGGTTGGGACAGAAAGTTTTGATAACTGGTGTTGTGATCTTGCATGGGCAGTCGCCAGTTAAGACCTGCTCTTCAGAATGTTCAGCATTTAAAGAATCTTTACCATTCTCATTGTACACATGTAATTTTTTTTATTACGTTGTCATTATCTAAAAGTGCTAACTGGTGAATCAGCCATCCTTGAATGAGTGGTAACTTACCTGCAAGAGGAGACGGACCAGTATAATGTCATGTTTCATATTAGTTTCTGACCATTTCCCCTTTCTCATGTGTTTTTCTGTCCCCAGTTTCTGACCATTTCCCCTTTCTCATGTGTTTTTCTGTCCCCAGTTTCTGACCATTTCCACTTTCTCATGTGTTTTTCTGTCCCCAGTTTCTGACCATTTCCCCTTTCTCATGTATTTTTCTGTCCCCAGTTTCTGACCATTTCCTCTGTCTCCTGTGATTTCCTGTCCTCATTTTCTGACCATTTCCTTTGTCTTATATGTTTTCCTGTCCCTAGTTTCTGACCATTTCCCATGTCTCATGAGTTTTCCTGTCCCCAGTTTCTGAACATTTTCCCTGTCTCCTGTGATTTTCTGGCCATTTCCTTTTTCTCATGTGTTTTCCTGTACCCACTTTATGACCATTTCCCTTGTCCTGTGATTTCCTGTCCCCAGTTTCTGACCATTTTCCCTGTCTCATGTGTTTTCATGTACCCAGTTTTTGAGGGTTTAGTTTAGTTTAGAAACTCTCCCTTTGAATTACATTTCTACCAAACGACTGCTCTTCTTTCCCTCTCCTAAACGAGAAACCAGTGTGCAAGACTGGTACTAGAACTTCACATTATTTATAGAAGAATGTAGCCCTGTGGGAAGCTGGTCAGATTCTAGAGTGTGGAGACACTGTGCCACAAGGTGATGCTCCAAGTTATAATGGTGCCCTGTGGGAGGCTGGTCAGATTCTAGAGTGTGGAGACACTGTGCCACAAGGTGATGCTCCAAGTTATAATGGTGCCCTGTGGGAGGCTGGTCAGATTCTAGAGTGTGGAGACACTGTGCCACAAGGTGATGCTCCAAGTTATAATGGTGCCCTGTGGGAGGCTGGTCAGATTCTAGAGTGACTGTGCAAGACTGGTACTAGAACTTCACATTTTTTATAGTAGAATGTAGCCCTGTGGGAAGCTGGTCAGATTCTAGAGTGTGGAGACACTGTGCCACAAGGTGATGCTCCAAGTTATAATGGTGCCCTGTGGGAGGCTGGTCAGATTCTAGAGTGTGGAGACACTGTGCCACAAGGTGATGCTCCAAGTTATAATGATGCCCTGTGGGAGGCTGGTCAGATTCTAGAGTGTGGAGACACTGTGCCACAAGGTGATGCTCCAAGTTATAATGGTGCCCTGTGGGAGGCTGGTCAGATTCTAGAGTGTGGAGACACTGTGCCACAAGGTGATGCTCCAAGTTATAATGGTGCCCTGTGGGAGGCTGGTCAGATTCTAGAGTGTGGAGACACTGTGCCACAAGGTGATGCTCCAAGTTATAATGGTGCCCTGTGGGAGGTTGGTCAGTTTGGAGAGCCAGTCTGTGGAGACACTGTGCCACAAGGTGATGCTCCAAGTTATAATGGTGCCCTGTGGGAGGTTGGTCAGTTTGGAGAGTCAGTCTGTGGAGACCCTGTGCCACAAGGTGATGCTCCAAGTTATAATGGTGCCCTGTGGGAGGTTGGTCAGTTTGGAGAGCCAGTCTGTGGAGACACTGCCACAAGGTGATGCTCCAAGTTATAATGGTGCCCTGTGGGAAGCTGGTCAGATTCTAGAGTGTGGAGACACTGTGCCACAAGGTGATGCTCCAAGTTATAATGGTGCCCTGTGGGAGGTTGGTCAGTTTGGAGAGCCAGTCTGTAGAGACACTGTGCCACAAGGTGATGCTCCAAGTTATAATGGTGCCCTGTGGGAGGTTGGTCAGTTTGGAGAGTCAGTCTGTGGAGACCCTGTGCCACAAGGTGATGCTCCAAGTTATAATGGTGCCCTGTGGGAGGTTGGTCAGTTTGGAGAGCCAGTCTGTGGAGACACTGCCACAAGGTGATGCTCCAAGTTATAATGGTGCCCTGTGGGAAGCTGGTCAGATTCTAGAGTGTGGAGACACTGTGCCACAAGGTGATGCTCCAAGTTATAATGGTGCCCTGTGGGAGGTTGGTCAGTTTGGAGAGCCAGTCTGTAGAGACACTGTGCCACAAGGTGATGCTCCAAGTTATGGACCAGCATGCAACTTGGTCACTGGGCTGATAGGCTGTGTAGAACTCAACTTTCAGCATTCACAATGGGTTATTTCTATGATTTGCTTATCAGTCAGGTGTCATCTTCACAGTAAAGGTTGGCAACACTGGATCTCCAATACCCTCTGTCTGTCTCTGCCTGCTGTTCTTTTATTTCTTGTCAGCCCCACCCCCTCCCCCCACCCAAAGCAGTATCTCAAAAAAATGCTTTTGTTGGTTCTGCAATGTCCTATAAAGCATGTATAACTAGTTTGTGTTTACATTTATTTTATTTCTGACATCAGGTTTCTGCACGATAGTCTCTCTAGGAAGTCTGTATTTGGTGATATTTTTGTATGTGTGAAATATTTTACATTCTTCTGTTTATGCACATTATCAGAACCTCAGTTCAACTTTCCAAAAGTATGCTCATTGTTCAGGTTGGATCTCTTTCATTCATTGATTATTTAAATATAATTCATAATATGTTTCCTTACAGGGCAGCAGAAATGATGACTAAAACTGGCCAGGTTGTCAAGCTAAAAGTGGCCAAACGAGCTGTTTTATACCATAATTTAGGATCTTTACTTAGCCAGCCATCGCCAACCAGCCAAAGAGGTCAGTTTGGTTGTATTCCATTTAATAATTGTGTGTGGGTGGGGTGAAGATAAAAAGCGGAAGGGGGGCGTAGCACATGTGTGTTTTAAAATCTGTGGACAGTTCTAGCAATATTATGGACATGATTGTTGTAGAAAACAATGTGTGGCGTTCTGTAATTTGTTCTCCATGAATATTTGATTAAACAGATAACAGTTTGTTTATGTTAAACCTTTGGGGGGCAGAATGGTAACCTCTCATCTGTTTTTCCCTTGATAAATACAGCTGCTCAGACCAGAGCTCCAGGTCCAAACAGGACATTCAGTGATGAAGGTCCACCTCCCTACAATGGAAGAGATCCAAAGGCAGTCAATGGCTATGGTAGGTGACTGTTCCATATTGCGTTCCTCTCACTGATCTGCCTGTATGCTCAGGTACTTTGGCTTTAGTTGGTATTTGTTGCTGGGCAAGAACAGCAGGTTAAAATTGGTGAAACCAGATGACAAGCACTGTGCAGAGTATTGAGGAGAATAGTAAACTAACCCAGAACTGGTGTTGTCATTTGCAACACGCTGAGGGAGGTACTAAAGAGGGGGATCGAAGCACTTTTGAACTGAATTTTTAATATTAGGTAAGGAGTATCAATCAGTTAACCTCTGAGAAGCTGGGATATCTTGTGCATACAGTATCAGAACATCAGAAAATAAGAGGAAGGGGATTATTATTGTTGGGTTATGACATGGGCTGTGTGCTGTAAGTGTTTGCCTCATGTCCTTGAACATTAGACTCATTTCCTTAGAGATTTGTTGCTGAGCTCTACTTCCAATCTTTGCCTCCTCCACTCTGCAGCACCTGGATGTGGGCTCAGTCTTCACTGCTGGAGTCATTTTCAGAAGCCAGCTAGGTGTGCCAGACTAACTGGAACTTAACATGTGTGGAGAGGTACATTAGGATGTCATCTGGTGATGATGATGACTACTGTAACTATACAGACTCGCTAGGATAGTGTCTGGGTTGGTTTGAGGGTATCGGATATGTCATCAGATTTTATAGTGTATTTGTTCCCTCACTATCATAGCTCATTTTATGTGTTTAGACATGATGAGATGGTAGTAATGTTTTCTTGTTCTCTTTTCTGGGAATGCAGACAGAATGCGAGCACCATCATCTGGGAACCTGACAGAGTCAAGGCCCGGAGGACCAGCTGATCCTTACGGTTATCGCCGCGATGAGTCTCGTTCCAAATCAACATCCAACCTTCATGTTGAAACAAACCTAGACCACAATGATGTGCGCCCGAATATGAAACCGGCTCAGTCAGTTGGTGTCTTACATCCTTCTCAGGGTTATGGCCAGCGCCCAGAGATCAGGCCCAATGACTATGAAAACCAGCCAGGGTATCCCCAGGCAATAGGCCAGTACCAGGAGCAGCCAGTGAAATCGCACAATCAGTATCCATCTCAGGGTTACCAGCAACAGCAGCAGCAGCAGCATCTCAAAACTTCAGACAGATCATCATTGTCATCAAGAGCATCAACTACCAGCGCCAAGGATCCTAGACCAACCTCTGCTTATTACAGTCCTGAAAATGTGGCCAAAGAAAATCAAGACTTCTCCTCCAGACCTCGATCGGAAGATGTAGGCAGTAAACTGAAGGAGTGGCAGGATAAATATGAAGACCCTCGTGTAGGCAGCAGACAGAGTCCTGGCAGACAAAGCCCACCTTACAGCAATATTGGTGCCCAGAATCGGGAACCACCACCACAGCCTACACACAACCCGCCTCCAAAACCCACAGCTCACGAGCGACTCTTCAGCCAGCCATCCATTCCACAGAAGGTCAACATCAACACATACAACAGCCAGCCTAATTTCTACGAGAACACAATACCCCTGCAGCGGGAACCTCCACCACCATTCCACCAGCTTCAGAAACCATCCAGTGAAAGGGAATTGAAGCCAAAACTGGCTCCAAAGCCAGCGGCAGCACCTGCTAAAAAGAACTGGCCCCGGGTGCAGCATGTCGATATGCAGAATCTGAAGGTGGACAACAGACAAAGCCAGCCGAATTTCTTTGGTGGTGTACGACAGTCGCCTCAAAGCGGTCAGCCGAGCAGTCCACACATCGTTCAGCAGCCACAGTTTAATCATAGAAACTCGGAGCATGATCAAAGTAGTGCATCATACGATCAAAGAAGTACACAAAAAGATCAAAGGAACAACCAGTATGATCAAAGGAACCCACCATACGATCAAAGCAGCATGCCACATGATCAGAGAAACTCTCAGTTTGACCAGAGACCACATCAACAAAGCCAGAGAAACCAGTCTCAGCCAGACCTGAGAAATGATCCTAGGTTTGCTCAGGACCTTAGAGTCGTCCCCGATCCACGGAACGGACCTGCCTTTGAGTACCGGGGCTTCCAGCAGGATCAGCACAATGTTCCTGATTCCAGAAACCTGCCGCAGGTTCGGGATAGCTACCCTCAACATCATGGTAACAACAGAGATGGATTTTCACAACCATCAGCTGCTAGAGATGCCTACAATCAACAGCAGAATCCTCAAAAGTTAGCAAATAACTTACCTCTCTCTCACGAACAAATAAGAACAGCACAAGACCCATACATTCAGCAGCAGCAGCAGCGGTTCGTGGATAGCAGCAACCAGTATCGTTACTCTGTAGAATCACTGGATCTTCCTCCTCCCCCGACTCATAAAGACATACCCTCAGTGGTCCCTTCACCCCAGCTGGATGACAACAGTGAAGATTTGCCACCTCTTCCTCCCCCTCCATCTCATGAGAACCTGGTGGAGCAGAAACTGGTGGAGGAACAGCTGAAACTGATGCAACAGATTAATGCCACCAATCAGTTCTTGGCTACAGATCCCAGGTGAGAGAACCATGTTGTAGGCGTCAGATGTTGCCCCAGGGTGGGGGTTTGCAAGGCTTTGTGTTATCCTCATGTGGTTTCCGGGGCCTCATTGTGGGCGGGGGGGGGGGGAAACAAGAATAGACTCACTGTCTCCCTCCCTAACAAGCATGTTGTAGGTAAACTAATTAGGGGCATCTATCAAAGTTGGAGTGCATCTGCCTGATGCAAGGTACCAACAGTCTGCATACAAATAAGCCAGATCTGTAAAATGGATGTACACGCAACTCTTTGATTCTGGAACAAGACTTAAACCGGAGTAGACGAACAACTGGAACTTACCACAACGAATGCAAAGAATAAGATATTGTGTCAGGTTTAAAAGTGTGCTGCTCATGAGTGGCATCTGTTTCCATCCATCTGTCTATGGCATTTTCCCCATCCATCTGTCAGTGGCAATTTCCCCATCCATCTGTCAGTCTGGCATTATCTGTGACATCTGTCAGTGGCATGTTTCTGTGACATCTGTCAGTGGCATGTGTCTGTGAAATTGTTTGTAACCATCAGTGTCACCGGTTCTTGGCATATACTCTGTGCTAGACAAACTTGAAGATGCTTTGTTTCAGGTGTTTTGCTGGTTTTGTTTATAAAGGTGTGTTGTTGTCTAGCAGTTCATGCAGCAGCATTCTGGTTGTGTAGAGTGGGGTTTGTGTAGACTGTACTTTCTGACTGGAGCTGATCATCATCCCCATCTCCTCTCCAAGCTCAGAAACCAGCATTACTGCAAACTTATGAGATCAGGTCGTGTCTCAACACAGCACATAGATAATGAATGACATGATTGTCAGGTTTATCTTTGCAGGTTTTAGATGTTTAATTATCAGTCACCCAGTGCCCCCCAAAAAAAAAAAAAACATGCAGAATGAGTCATTAAAGGACTCCAACTCAATGACCCAAGGCATGCAGAGTTGATTTGTTTGATGACTCCAGCTGAGTGTCCAAAGGCATGCAGAGTGAGTTGTTGAAGGCCTCTAGCTGAGTGTCCAAAGGCATGCAGAGTGAGTTGTTGAAGGCCTCTAGCTGTGTACCCAAAGGCATGCAGAGTGAGTTGTTGAAGGCCTCTAGCTGAGTGCCCAAAGACATGCAGAGTGAGTTGTGTGAAGGCCTCTAGCTGAGTGTCCAAAAGCATGCAGAGTGAGTTGTTGAAGGCCTCTAGCTGATGCCCAAAGACATGCAGAGTGAGTTGTTGAAGGCCTCTAGCTGAGTGCCCAAAGACATGCAGAGTGAGTTGTGTGAAGGCCTCTAGCTGAGTGTCCAAAAGCATGCAGAGTGAGTTGTTGAAGGCCTCTAGCTGATGCCCAAAGACATGCAGAGTGAGTTGTTGAAGGCCTCTAGCTGAGTGCCCAAAGACATGCAGAGTGAGTTGTTGAAGGCCTCTAGCTGAGTGTCCAAAGGCATGCAGAGTGAGTTGTTGAAGGCCTCTAGTTGATGCCCAAAGGCATGCAGAGTGAGTTGTTGAAGGCCTCTAGTTGATGCCCAAAGGCATGCAGAGTGAGTTGTTGAAGGCCTCTAGCTGAGTGTCCAAAAGCATGCAGAGTGAGTTGTTGAAGGCCTCTAGCTGAGTGTCCAAAGACATGCAGAGTGAGTTGTTGAAGACCTCTAGCTGATGCCCAAAGACATGCAGAGTGAGTTGTTAAAGGGCCTCCAGCTGAGTGCCCAAAGACATGCAGAGTTGTTGAAGGCCTCTAGCTGAGTGCCCAAAGATATGCAGAGTGAGTTGTTGAAGGCCTCTAGCTGAGTGTCCAAAGGCATGCAGAGTGAGTTGTTGAAGGCCTCTAGCTGAGTGCCCAAAGACATGCAGAGTGAGTTGTTGAAGGCCTCTAGCTGAGTGCCCAAAGACATGCAGAGTGAGTTGTTGAAGGCCTCTAGCTGAGTGTCCAAAGAAATGCAGAGTGAGTTGAAAGCCTCTAGCTGAGTGTCCAAAGGCATGCAGAGTGAGTTGTTGAAGGCCTCTAGCTGATGCCCAAATATATGCAGAGTGAGTTGTTGAAGGCCTCTACCTGAGTGTTCAAAGGCATGCAGAGTGAGTTGTTGAAGGCCTCTAGCTGAGTGTCCAAAGGCATGCAGAGTGAGTTGTTGAAGGCCTCTAGCTGATGCCCAAAGACATGCAGAGTGAGTTGTTAAAGGCCTCTAGCTGAGTGTCCAAAGACATGCAGAGCGAGTTGTTGAAGGCCTTCTCCTCAGAGACATTAAAGAAACAGCTATATGATTTGATTTGATTCAAGAACCGACATCACAGCACTCGGTGCATTTCCATAAGCGCTCCGTCCTCATCTTCAGCAGCCAGCGAAGAGTTCCGATACTAATGGTGCCAGTAGCTTTCTGATTAAACGTCCGTCTTGCCTTTCCTCTTTGAGCCTCGAAATTCTGCCAGAACCTCTCGTCACCCCCAACTGCATCAATCTCACCAGACTGTGGTGATCCATCTGCTCCTCCGAATTGTACACGCTCTCCCACAAGGCACTAACCACGTCTGCCCTATCATGTATCAGTATTCCACCAAGTTGTGCAGAGCCAGCCAGTCTGTCCGCCTGTTCATTTCCCAACATACCGGTGTGACCTGGTGAAAAAATCCAGACAATACTTCTCACTCGTGTCCTCCGCAGCGAAGCATGCCACTCTGCACGAAGCATACCTGTTCTGATCTTCCTCAGCATGCTTTCTGAATCAGTTACAATCACGATATGTGTGTGTGTCGTGTTCTCTAGCCAGCGGAAAGCTGCAGTGACCGCCTCCACCTCCATTCTTAAGCTGGATGTTGTGGTATCATTTGCTAGGCTTTCCTGCACCAAACGTCGACCATTAACTTTTGCTAAGAAGCCCCACACACTTCTTTTGCCTCTTGACACTGAACCGTCTGTGTAAATGATCAAATCCTCCGAGCGAGCATTATCTTGAATTAATTGCTGAATTTCCACCTTTGTGGCACCTGCTGACCAGTCTCTGCTTTCACGGCTCAGCGTGATTATGACTCTACACAGGTCTGACTGCACAGGTGGCACTTTGACCCACTCCTCTCCTCGCCTAATGTTCTCAAGGATGCAAACCTGTTATGAAACAGCTATATGAAAAAGTTGTTAATGATCATTTATTGTATTTCCTCTACAGACGAGACCGTAGATACAGCCCAAACATTGTTCAGCAACAGCAGCTCCAAACACAGTACCAGCCTCAGCCTCAGCATACTCCACAGACACAACAGTACCACCAACAGCAGCAACAGCAGCAGCGCTTGCGGCCCCAGTCCCAACCCCAGCAGCCAGCTATAAACCGAGTTCTTCCCCCAGGTGTGGATGCCAGGGGTGTGACTCCACTGGGATACCAAGTGATCCAGGATGGCTACAGACCCAACGACCCTACAGCCTACCAGGACTACCAGAACATCAGCTTTGTCTCTGATGTGAGAGCAACTACTGGCCCAGAACCACAAGCTCCCTCTGTAGCCCAGCCGTCAGCAGAGTATAGTAATTCATTCAGTAACCCTGCTCTGAGAGCTCAGGGTTTTCAGGTGAGCATTCAGTGATTGTCAGAAAAGTTGTGCCTGTTTCAGGACGTGTGTTGGACAAATGGTTCCAAATTTGTTAAGACTTGTGGACTGCTACGTATCCCATTATTTTAAAGTCATGTTTAAAAAAAAAAATTAAATTAATTTCTAAATATTAAATTCACAAAAAAGAATTGCATTATAAATTTGAGTGTATGATAAATGATATAATTTACTTACCCCTTAAATGATGTTTTACAAATAAATTATCATCTTGTGCCGTAATGGGAGTTTTGCTAGAAGAAAGAAGTCCAAAGATGCAACTATCACTTTCATCAGTCTTGATCAGCAAACACAGCAAGATTACTTGACTAGAAAATTTGTTTTCTCTTTCTTCTTCTTCTTCTTAGCATTCAGCATCTGTAAACTCTGGCAAAAGGTTCTGGTTGTTCACTTTTGGACTTTGGTGGTCTTGTTTCGAACTTATGTTTTGCCTGCAGGCCCATTTTACAGATCAGATGTTTTTGTCAGCTCAAAGTGTGGGTTTCTCACTTGTGAGGCAGATGTACTTTGACTTCGAAAGCAGCACCCTTAGTTACTCATCTTTTACGACATGCTTGTTGGGGGCAGTGGCGCTGTTCTTTACCCTCGCCCCTGCAGCAGAGGGCCTCGAAGCCCACACAGGCGGGAGAACCTAGCTGTAAATTGACCACACAACATGCCAGCTGCCTTGTCAAGGGACAATTCAGAAGAAAAACAGTTGTGCCTCACTGGTCTGTGCTGTGAGTTTCTGAGACTGTGACTGCACAAGAAGAAGAAGAAGAAGAAGAATCTGTCCCAGCAAGCTGCTGCTGTAAGCTTCTGAGACTAAAAGAGTTAAAATTCTGCCTGACAATAACCCATCTTTGGTGTCTGTGCTTGTTAAGGTGAAACCCTCTGCGCCAGTGTCCAAGGCTAAAGTCCGAGAGCGAAGTGACATCAACACCAGGTCAGCCTGGGACAGAGATGCCAAAGAGAAGGCACAGGAGGTGGAGAAGGAAGAGCTCTTTAGGATTCTAGAACATGAGGTTGTGGATTTGGAGTCCAGGCCGTACTTGAATCCTCAGGTATGTCTTTGTCCAGAAATACAACAGCTACTGCTGTTTTTGTTGTGTTACACAACACACATCTCATATTTACAGAACACACAACAGACATCTTATATTTAGACATTTACACAACACACATCTGACATTCACACAACACATTTAATATTTACAGAACAAACATTGAACGTTTACACAACATCTCATATTTACAGAACAAACATTTAACATTTACATAACAAAAATCTGACATATAAACAGAGAAGACACAGACATGAGATTGCACATTTTATTGCCTGGCATATTTGGCTGTATCTCGTCAGGTGCAGAAAAGTGAATCCTTTATAACTGAAGTACAAACATTTAACGACAATCAAATGTAACTGCCTGTAACTTGGTCACCTGTCACTCTAGCTACACCGTTCTCTTCAGACTGTGATAACTTGGTGATGTGTTACCAGCATTATGTAGACAATATTTTTATTGTTGCCGCTGACAAACAACAAGCAAAATTATTACAGATTCAGATGAACCGGGCACACAGAAACATCCCACTGTCCCTACAACATAAATGTAATAACCCAATCACATTTTTAGACATCCTGATAAGATAAAGAGAAGATGGCACTATTCAACAATCAGTGTATAGGAAAGATGCTTGGGCTGGCCAGTACATGAACTTTAATAGTTTTTGCAACCATCCAGTACAAATGTGGCCTAGTACAAGCATATTTATACCATGCACACTAGAAACTGAAAACATTGTTGTGTAGCGTGTTCTTCCCCAAACAATGTTATCTGTGTAAAGACTGGACATGGAGGGCAAAGATCAGCAGAGATGAATTGCTAGAGCTTGGTATTTTAGATCAGTGAGGAGAGACAGGGTAGGATGTGATGCCACAAGCAAACACTGTGGTTGTTTATTGTACAAGGTTGAGATCCCATGACAAACACTCTTGTGTTGGTGGGAACCATATGGAAAGCAAATAATGGTAATAATGTAACATGTCATGCATGTCATATGAGGTATCTGAGTAGGGTTACCAAAGTCTGGCTCCTTTATTCTGTAGAACACTGGTTGCAGACTCCGCTACATAACATAACCCTTGACCCATTAGGGTCGAGGAGGTGTATTAATGGAAGCAATAGCACATAAAACCTGTCGTCATTCTCTGTCTTCCGCTTGATGAATAAGTGTATGATAACTTAGTCCTGTCCATTTCTTGATGTTGTCATTCCAGGTTCTTCTTTGCCCTCCTCTTCTTTGACTACCCCCCAACATTCCTTGAAGTAGTCTTTGCAATTGAATCATGTCTCACCACGTGCGCAAACCAAGCTGGCTTGCAACATTTCACCACTGCCAAGAGAGACTCTGCTAAATCATAATCAAGTCAATACTGTGTAGTGTTGGCAGAGAGCTGCTGCTCCATTTGGGAATGGAGAGAGAGAGAGAGAGAGAGAGAGAGAGAGAGAGAGAGAGAGAGAGAGAGAGAGAGAGAGAGAGAGAGAGAGAGAGAGAGAGAGAGAGAGAGAGAGAGAGAGAGAAGACATGATTTGGTCACACATGATAATTGTCCACTCATTGACCACTAGAACCTCATTGTTAAACAGATCTGTTGAATCTTCCATACTGCAGGAGCAGGAGAGGTTGCGCAAGCTGAAAATGGAGTATGAGTTTCAGAGACGTGTCAAGGAGGTGTCTGAAACAGGAGAGGTGGACAATGATGACGATGAACTGACAGAGAGGTCATTTGTGAGTATCTTTCTCAGCCTGTCTCATGTACAGATCTCATTGCCTGTTCAACACATTTCATATTTGAGGTTAGTCTCAGATAAAAATGAACATTTCCAGAGCTATTTAGTGTTTTTGTTTTATCTTGAGATGTTCCTCTTGCTTCTTCACCGTCACTGTTACAGGATATAGATAGCTGAGCTAGTGGCCGCTTGGTAGCTTGGTATGCTATCGTGTTGTGAAGGCTTAGGCTCCAAGTTTAGTTGAGTTTCAAGAACCAACATTCCAGCACTTGGGACATTCTTGTAATTGCTCCATCTCCATCTTCAGCAGCAGGCAGAGAGTTCCGACTCTTATAGTACCAGTAGCAGTCTGATTGTTTGCCTGTCTTGCCTTTACTCTGAGTGTAGATTGTCACTTTTTGTTGATTGTTTGCCTGCCTGTCTTGCCTTTACTCTGAGTGTAGATTGTCACTTTTTGTTGATTGTTAGCCTGTCTTGCCTTTACTCTGAGTGTAGATTGTCACTTTTTGTTGATTGTTTGCCTGTCTTGCCTTTACTCTGGGTGTAGGTTGTCACTTTTTGTTGATTGTTTGCCTGTCTTGCCTTTACTCTGGGTGTAGATTGTCACTTTTTGTTGATTGTTTGCCTGCCCGTCTTGCCTTTACTCTGGGTGTAGATTGTCACTTTTTGTTGATTGTTTGCCTGCCCGTCTTGCCTTTACTCTGGCTGTAGATTGTCACTTTTTGTTGATTGTTTGCCTGCCCGTCTTGCCTTTACTCTGGGTGTAGATTGTCACTTTTTGTTGATTGTTTGCCCGTCTTGCCTTTACTCTGGGTGTAGGTTGTCACTTTTTGTTGATTGTTTACCTGCCCGTCTTGCCTTTACTCTGGGTGTAGATTGTCACTTTTTGTTGATTGTTTGCCTGCCCGTCTTGCCTTTACTCTGGGTGTAGATTGTCACTTTTTGTTGATTGTTTGCCTGTCTTGCCTTTACTCTGGGTGTAGATTGTCACTTTTTCTTGATTCTATGCCTGTCTTGCCTTTACTCTGGGTGTAGATTGTCACTTTTTGTTGATTGTTTGCCTGTCTTGCCTTTACTCTGGTTGTAGATTGTCACTTTTTGTTGATTGTTTGCCTGTCTTGCCTTTACTCTGGGTGTAGGTTGTCACTTTTTGTTGATTGTTTGCCTGCCCGTCTTGCCTTTACTCTGGGTGTAGATTGTCACTTTTTGTTGATTGTTTGCCTGCCCGTCTTGCCTTTACTCTGGGTGTAGATTGTCACTTTTTGTTGATTGTTTGCCCGTCTTGCCTTTACTCTGGGTGTAGGTTGTCACTTTTTGTTGATTGTTTACCTGCCCGTCTTGCCTTTACTCTGGGTGTAGATTGTCACTTTTTGTTGATTGTTTGCCCGTCTTGCCTCTACTCTGGGTGTAGATTGTCACTTTTTGTTGATTGTTTGCCCGTCTTGCCTCTACTCTGGGTGTAGATTGTCACTTTTTGTTGCACCATTTTTTTCAGACCGTGATTGTACCCCACCCTGTTCATTTGCTCCCATAAGACCTTGACAACATCTAGCTTATCATGAATCAGTTTTCCACCGAGTGGTGCACAACTAGCTAGTGTGTCTGCCTTTTCAAGAATGCTAACTACCCTGGACCTCTGAAGCAAGGGATGCTACTCTGCACAGAGCATACCTGTCTCCACTTATCTCAGCTTGCTTTGCCAGTCAGTTACAATCACAACACATGTATGTGGAGCTGGTTCTCATGCACACAGAAGGCCGCAATGACCATCTCTTGCTCCATTCTTTATTTAAGCTGCCAGTGTTCTATCAATCCATGTTCTTCGAGGTCTTCCTCTAGTTTTTGTTGTTCCCACTTTTATATTGTATGTCTTGCTGCCGGCATCGTCAGGTTCATTGTCACTAGCATGCTGAACCTTTTCCGTCTTTGTTTTCCTGAATAAAAAAAAATACAAGTTATGGGTATTGTTCTCATAGTTCTTCTAATCTTTTCATTTCTCACACATCCTCTGCTGGTATTGTGGGTGTGTGAGAGAGAGAGAGAGAGAGAGAGAGAGAGAGAGACAGACAGAGAGACAGACAGACAGACAGACAGACAGACAGACAGACAGACAGACAGACTGATAGACTGGGGGTAGGGGGATTGGAGTAATTCTAGACAGCATAAGTAACATACCTGTACCTTGTTGTCTCAATGAAAGCTCAATCTTAGTAAACTAAAAGATAAATTATTTTTACGAGTTTTGATTGACAACATACATGAGTTACTTACTGCAGCTACAGTATATAAAGAGCTTCTAGTGCCACATTGACAGTCTCTTTAGTAACAACTGAATATTAATTCTCTGTCCCAGAACCGGGAGAATGTCATCCACTCACTGCAGGAAGACCTGGAGAAATCCAGGGAACGGATGCGTCATTTCGAGCTGACCCAGCAGAGAGTGGATGCTAGCCAGGAACATGATCGACTACAGGTGTAAGTAGGATTACTTGATTGATTGGGGGGGGGGGGGGGGGGGGGGGGGGGGGGGGGGGGGGGGGGGGGGATAGGGGGGTTGATTTGTTGTTGATTTAGATAGATTGTTGCAGTTGATGTCATCCTTGAAAGCTTCACCATTTGTGAGGTCACATTTCACTGCAGTAAAACCTTGCTAATACAGATTCCAAGGGATAGAAAATCAAGTCTGTGTTAAAAACAGTTTTTGCTAATCAGGGATAAAGAATAATAAACATCTGCCGGGACAGTGATTGTAAACTTGTTAACTGTTTTTCTGAAGCATGTTGGTGTTAACGAGGTCTAACTGTATTCTCATGTTGTTGACTAAGCACACAAACAGGGACTCTTTTTGTGTGACCACTAGAATCTTACATCCATAAATATGAGAGGAACTGGACAACTAATGAAGTTTTTCAGTTCTAGCTGTGGGTGTTTGGCAACAGACTGCCTTGTGTTGCTTTAGATAAGGGTTTGGAGCAGCAGCCATTCAGAAGCAATGACAGACAACTCAGAGTTAATTTTGAAGTAAAAACACCAACAGTCAGCAAATGCTGGGTTTGGTTAATGAGGTCCTGTAAAGGATATGCAACTAACTAGCCTGTGTTTATGTCAGCCTGGTTTGTTAAGGCCAGGATTTCCATGGACTACCAAGGGAGCATGAAGGAGTATCAGCTACTCCTCCTTCCTTTTATTCCCTGTAGACCTGTGACCAACTAACTGCAACCCGTTGTTGTCTTGTGTGGTCACTCAGTGTCCTCTAAGTATCTTATCTCTTTTGTTCTTGTTTCCTTGGACTTATTTCTGGGTGGTTGGCTTTTGTGGCTGCAGCATTCTGTAGCTGACCCCAAGACCAGCCCTCCCTTGTCACCTCAGACAACCATCCTGGCCAGCTGTAGTGCTGCTGGACTTTGTAAACGCTAGCTACAAAATCCAACAAAATTAGGCACAAGTTGGCTAATAGCTTGGCATGAGTTGAAGGCCTGTGCTTCTTTGGGAGCTGAAAGGCAGAAACAGAAAAATAAAAATTGAATTGACCTAACAGAAGATACTGCCATTACCGTTGTTCATTCACATTGCATGTTATCTGATACTGCAGACTTGAGCGCCGACTAGAAGCATATGAGAAAGAAAGAGAGGAGATTGCCAAGCGGCTGCAGAAAAAACAGGAGAAACGAACCATGGGACACCAGGTGAGATGAGAGTTAATGAATGCTCAAGTCAGGCGTGTATATGTCCTATGTCCAGGTTCATGGTGGTTGGCCCTGCCTCTCCTTCTAAAGACCTCACCCTCCAATTCTGTTTTTTTCATCAGCTTTCTTGGATGTCCAGATCTTGTACATTGTTAGTTCTTTTCTTGTCTTATTTTAAAGTTTCACCCCATCTGTCCAAATAGTGGCACTTTGCATCAGCTGGCATTTGTCGGTCATTGTGTGGTGCTGCTGGGGTTGGACGTCACTCACTCATTTAATCCACAATATTCAAGAATATTTCTCAACATTGAAGTTCAGTGGCTCCCAATGCTTGTCCTCAGTGGTTGTGAAATATTCCTTGATTCGTATCTGTATCAATACATCTTTGGAGTTTAAGTCTAAAGCTGCTGTGAATTTGAAACTGGGAATAGTTTCAGTTTACAGTTTGTAAACGTGCATTCTAAGTAAATTGTGTATTGTAAGTAAATTGTGAATTGTAAGTATATTGTGTATTGTAAGTATATTGTGTATTGTAAGTATATTGTGTATTGTAAGTATATTGTGTATTGTAAGTATATTGTGTATTGTAAGTATATTGTGTATCGTAAGTATATTGTGTATCGTAAGTATATTGTGTATCGTAAGTATATTGTGTATTGTTAGTATATTGTGTATTGTTAGTATATTGTGTATTGTAAGTATATTGTGTATTGTAAGTATATTGTGTATTGTAAGTATATTGTGTATCGTAAGTATATTGTGTATCGTAAGTATATTGTGTATCGTTAGTATATTGTGTATTGTTAGTATATTGTGTATTGTTAGTATATTGTGTATTGTAAGTATATTGTGTATTGTAAGTATATTGTGTATTGTAAGTCTGTATAAATGTGCATTGTAAATTGTACACCAGTTGGTATATTTGACGTTGGTATATTTGACAGTTTTTATCTACTATATATATATATATATATATGCACCATTTCAAACCTGACTGTATCTGTTTGCTTCAGGAGCAAGAACAGCCTGCAGACTTTCAGGACAGATACACGGAGAACCGGTCTGTCCATGGGTCCTTGAACAATATGCAAAACCCACCTGGACTCCAGCCGGGTCAAGGTTCCTCAGATTATTCACAGTATGCGAATGTTCCCGGTCAGGTCTCTGTTGATCCGTCAAGTCTGGCCCCGCCCCCTCCCGAGAGGAAGTCTTCGTATGACACATTTACCCAGCACCAGCAGAGAGCTTCATTCAGGGGCAGTAACAGTATGGATTTCCCTGCACCTGCCCAGAGCATCAACAACAGTGCCAGTGGCAATCTGCCATCAGCCTTGAAGAACTCTCAGGAGCCGCCACTGCCTGCCAAGAAATCTGTGTCATTTAACACGGACATGAACACCTACAAGGAGCGGACACCCAACCACTCGGTGTCTTCCTACAGGTCACCTGTCGGGTCGGTCTCCATTGACCAAGGGTTCCCTCCTGCTTCCAATTATAGCCCAGACACTGATGTCTTTGACCCAGATTCCCACCCTCTGCATAACATCAACAGCACATCCCTGGACAGCAAACGGGCAGAGTTTGGCTATAATGCCTCCAGCGGAACCCCAAATGTTATCGGCACTCAAGAATTCTATCGAGACCCCCGCTCGCGGATCGAGGCCAAGATCGCATCGCAGTCAGCCACCCGGGGTATGGACAGGATGTCATTTAGGGACAAAATGAAATATTTTAATCAGGATGATACAATTAAACTGAAGCCGAAAGCATCAAAGACACTTAGGGAAATTGAATCTCAACTCAATGGCCAGTAACATTCTCTGGAGACAATCGCTGTTTCTCTGTTAGCCAGTAGAGAATTTTATATTGTCAGCTTGTAGCTGCCCACTTAAATGTGATTGCGGAAGTATCTGTGGTCTAAAGAAGGCATACCCACCGGCTAACGTTCAAGTGTAGGTTTCACTGCCCCAGATTTGCCTTACTGGCATGTGAAGTCCTTGTGTTTATGTCACATCAAAGTCATGACCCTAAGGTTAGCATGGCACCACAGGGTAGAAAGGGGAGGGGGGAGGAGGACCGACATATTTTTATTGACCGCTACATTGATATTCTTAGATTTTAAAAAGTTATCTTCTAGCCTCCGTGAACAAGAAAACAATCACGTTTCAGTTTTATATACATTGTAGGAACACACATACGCGTGCACATCTACACATGCACCCACACATGTACCCACACATGCACCCACACATGTGTAGGAATGCCTAGTCCAAGCCAGCTAGAAGCCTGATGACCTGAGGTTAAACTGTAGACGCATGCCTGCAGTGACAGTCAGGTATCTTACGGGTGTTGTAAAGTATGAGGTACCTGTTCTGTTTCTCTGCATGCACCAGCTGCAAACTTCTGCGGACAGTTTAGCTTGTACCTCCACTTCTGGCTTTAGTCTTGTTACAGAAGTTGAGTTTTGTGCCACGTCAGTTTTACGGGTGTGACTTATTTGAGTGTAGACTATTGGTTCCACACCTCTCAGGCAGATGCACTCTGACATCAAAGGAAACGCCTGTAATTAGTCTGTTATTGCGACGTGTCTAGGGCTACAGTGGCCCTATTTTTGCTTCCTTACCATGTGACCCTAGAACACATAGGGAGAGGTACAGAAAATTGTTTTGATACCAATACTCCTGTTTGATCATGTCTAACTTTGGATGGGAACACGCACATGCACGCACGCGCACACACACACACGGGCGTGCACACACATATACATACATATATATATGCATTTCTGTACATGTTTAGGCACACAGAGAGAGACAGACTCACACACACACACACATATATATATATATATATATATATATATATATATATATCTCCGTGTGTGTGTGTGTGTGCGTACACACACAGAAAACAACTTGTAAGAGGTTCCTCTGACACATTTGTGTACAGGTTAACAGTAGAAAAAAGAAACATGGCTGCTGCCTCATGCGGTGAACTGTAACCTCCAAGATGCCACAGTAAATGTATCGAAGCTTGCTGTGTTAGTTCCTGGGAGGGGGGGGGGGGTGCGTTGGTGATGTCTGCGTAAACAGTCAGCCCAGCACCCACCCACAACATCTGCTGTATGTGCAAGTGGCTTGTTGTCCCGATGGAAGACGAGGAAATAAAGTTGAACTGTTGGAATATTATGATACAAGTTTGGGCCCTTGGTAGTCACTGGGGTCAGGTCAAGGAGCCTTGTTACCTCATTGGGGTGTTGGGTATATGGAGCTAGACTCATTTGTGTATAGACCACTCGGCCTTAGGTGGATAAAGTGGTCAGCGTGATACCTGCCGTGTTTACTTCCCTCCCACCCGGACATTACCTGGTACCCATTTTTATCTGCATTGACCCAGGAGCCAAGATCAAATTTGAAATGGAAAAAAAAAAATCAATCTGCCTCATGATGGTTTCAGTTGCAGACCTTTAGGTTGCAAGCAAGCACCTAGATTGTAGTCTGGTCAGCCACCATTGTGTTAGACTTATCTCATGATTGTATGGGTGCACATATCAGTGGTAATTTTGTATACCAGTGTACGTGCTGAACTATACTGTAACAGACTGCCTGTGAAGTCTGCATATTGTTATTATACTTTCTCTCTGTCTTTGATTGGTGCTTGTTTAATGTTGACTCTTACTGTATCTATTTAATTTTTCTTTGTGCTTCTCTGGCAGAATGGGGGACTGCTTGGAAGAATGTCACTTACTGAATGAAATGGTGTTTTTATTGAATGTATGAATGACAAACCAATTCTATTTATAGAGATGCTTGTTTATTTTTTTGTTGAATACAGAAAAACTATAAAATATTGTTTTATTACTGGATTGGATTTGTTTACAGTTTCTAAATGTGAACTCTTTTGTGAGTGGTTGATGCTAATTTAGTTTGATAGAGTTTGATCAGAAGAATAATTTTAGTCTGGTGTCTGTTATTGCACAGGTTTGTGATATCGGTGGTGTTTATGGCTTTCTCTGCCTGAAGTATTGAATGTACTGAACTGGTGGTCTGGTATATCGGTCCATACGTTGATTGTGAACTGGTGGTCTGTTATGTCGGTCCATATATTGATTGTGAACTGGTGGTCTGGCATGTCGGTCCATACATTGATTGTGAACTGGTGGTCTGTTATGTCGGTCCATATATTGATTGTGAACTGGTGGTCTGGCATGTCGGTCTATACATTGATTGTGAACTGTTGGTCTGGCATGTTGGTCCATACATTGATTGTGAACTGGTGGTCTGGCATGTTGGTCCATACGTTGATTGTGAACTGGTGGTCTGGCATGTCAGTCCATACATTGGTTGTGAACTGGTGGTCTCAGTGTCGGTCCATATATTGATTGTGAACTGGTGGTCTGGCATGTTGGTCCATACGTTGATTGTGAACTGGTGGTCTGGCATGTTGGTCCAATACGTTTATTGTGAACTGGTGGTCTGGCATGTCGGTCCATACATTGATTGTGAACTGGTGGTCTGGCATGTTGGTCCATACATTGATTGTGAACTGGTGGTCTGGCATGTTGGTCCATACATTGGTTGTGTGAACTGGTGGTCTGGCAGTCGGTCCATACATTGATTGTGAACTGGTGGTCTCAGTGTCGGTCCATACATTGATTGTGAACTGGTGGTCTGGCAGTCGGTCCATATATTGATTGTGAACTGGTGGTCTGGCATGTCAGTCCATACGTTGATTGTGAACTGGTGGTCTGGCAGTTGGTCCATACATTGATTGTGAACTGGTGGTCTGGCATGTCAGTCCATACATTGGTTGTGAACTGGTGGTCTCAGTGTCGGTCTATATATTGATTGTGAACTGGTGGTCTCAGTGTCGGTCCATATATTGATTGTGAACTGGTGGTCTGTCATGTCGGTCCATACGTTGGTTGTGAACTGGTGGTCTGTCATGTCGGTCCATACGTTGATTGTGAACTGGTGGTCTGGCATGTTGGTCCATACGTTGGTTGTGAACTGGTGGTCTGGCATGTCGGTCCATACATTGGTTGTGAACTGGTGGTCTGTCATGTCGGTCCATATATTGATTGTGAACTGGTGGTCTGGCATGTTGGTCCATACATTGATTGTGAACTGGTGGTCTGTCATGTCGGTCCATACATTGATTGTGAACTGGTGGTCTGTCATGTTGGTCCATACATTAATTGTGAACTGGTGGTCTGGCAGTTGGTCCATATATTAATTGTGAACTGGTGGTCTGGCAGTCGGTCCATACATTGATTGTGAACTGGTGGTCTGGCAGTTGGTCCATACATTGATTGTGAACTGGTGGTCTGGCATGTTGGTCCATACGTTGATTGTGAACTGTTGGTCTGGCATGTTGGTCCAATACGTTGATTGTGAACTGGTGGTCTGGCATGTCAGTCCATACATTGGTTGTGAACTGGTGGTCTCAGTGTCAGTCCATATATTGATTGTGAACTATTGGTCTGTCATGTCGGTCCATATGTTGATTGTGAACTGGTGGTCTGTCATGTCGGTCCATACATTGATTGTTAACTGGTGGTCTGGCATGTCAGTCCATACATTGATTGTGAACTGGTGGTCTGGCATGTTGGTCCATACATTGGTTGTGTGAACTGGTGGTCTGGCAGTCGGTCCATACATTGATTGTGAACTGGTGGTCTCAGTGTCGGTCCGTACGTTGATTGTGAGCTGGTGGTCTGGCAGTCGGTCCATATATTGATTGTGAACTGGTGGTCTGGCATGTCAGTCCATACGTTGATTGTGAACTGGTGGTCTGGCATGTTGGTCCATACGTTGATTGTGAATTGGTGGTCTGGCAGTTGGTCCATATATTGATTGTGAACTGGTGGTCTGGCATGTCGGTCCATACATTGATTGTGAACTGGTGGTCTGGCAGTTGGTCCATACATTGATTGTGAACTGGTGGTCTGGCATGTCAGTCCATACATTGGTTGTGAACTGGTGGTCTCAGTGTCGGTCCATATATTGATTGTGAACTGGTGGTCTGGCATGTTGGTCCATACATTGATTGTGAACTGCAGGGGTCAAGGAAACATGAGAGAACACAACAAAAGTCCTCTCTCAATCCGTCTTGTTGGTGACCTGTGTTATTCAGTTGTGTATGATTTGATGAGTTGAGGACTGGTGATGGCTTAGTTGTCAACAGTATGCTAGGGATGTATAACAGTGGTTTGTTTCCCTCTTTCCTTCTGTGATTATTAGCATCCATGATGTTCCCCGTACACATATTTTTCCACAATGTCCCATGTGCATGTAGAGAGGTCTTGCTTGCTATAAACCATGAGTTTGATACATCAGCCCCTCGACATCCCACTCCACATCCAACTAGTGGGTGATGGTACGTCACATTGTGGGCAGAAGTAAGTAAAGTTAAGTAAAGATCCCTTTTCACGCCTTTCGGCGCATCGGGCATATGGGCAGAGCGTCCCATATTTTTACAGACCATCAGCACTCTGTGGGTAATGTGGTCAGCATTACGCCGGCTGTCTTTACTTTCCCAGGACAGCCCATCCTGGTACCCATTTTAGGCTGGGTCGACCTGCGACGTCCCATACCACGACAAAAATCCACGCAGCCTGCAGTGGGTTTCGATCGCGGTATGCTGGCTCACGAGTCGGACTCGCAACGCCTTAGGACGCCGCTTGTGGGCAGAAGTACCCACACACAAAACAAACATTCAAACTGTCCACAAGTAAATATTTAGCAGTTGGTGTAGTTGTGCACTCCCTTCTGGTGTTTGAGCGTGTGTTCCTAAGTCTTCCATTTCTGACCGT